CATCACTACATCCACAAATGCAAGTTAAAACTCTACCATGCAAAGAAGAAACCATATATGAACAGAAACGCTGCCACGTTCTCTGGGCCCAAGCTCATTTAAGATGGACTGAAGAAAAGTGCAAAAGTGTTCTGTGGTCCAAAGAAATAAAATTTAAAATTCTTTTTGGAAGAAAGTCTTGCTTATTTTAGCAAGACAATGCCGAACCACATTCTGCATGTGTTTCCATAGCATTGCTCTGTAGTAAAAGAGTCTGTCACCCTTTGAAAACATTTGGCGCATTATGAAATGAAAAATATGGAAAAGGAGACTCCCGAACTGCTGAGCAGCTGAAATCCTATATCAACAAGAATGGGAAAACATTTCACTTGTGAAATGTTGTTAAAAGAAGAGATGATGAAACACAGTGGTAAACAGGCCCCCGTCCCAATTCTGTTGGAACGTGTTGCTGACATCAAATTCAAAATGGGCATATATTTTTCAGAAAACATTAACATTTCTCAGTTTCAACATTTGATTTGTTGTCTTTGTACTATTTTCGATTCAACATAGAGTTTAAACTATTTGCAGTCTTTACTATCTTTTTTAAGTTACATTTTGCACAGCATCCCAACTTTTCTGAAAATGGTTATGAATACACTGTCTGATGTCTGAGACACTGTTTTATGATAGTTTAAGAAACATGGGTTAAAACACCATTCATAGTGGAGGGATACATAACATGCAGGGCGCTGTGAGGCAATATAGTCCCCAAAGAAAACGTATTATTTCAGATTTCCCACTATTTTCCATCATCAACATTCCATATAAAATTCAGAAGACACGTGTAGGTTTACTGGTGGTTTTGAGTAGTAAATAAAAGGTACTAAACTGTCTCTGGGTCAGTCCCCCTCTCGTCACTGGGATGGTACCCTCAAGGCTCCATCTCAGTACCTTCAGTCAGGGAACATAACTGAACCATAATCCACTGAAATGATATGTTCTAAGCTGTACTGACTCCACACACCCCGTCTCGTCCCCAGGCTTTTATTTTACTGTTCTGTTTTAAAACATTCAGTTATGAAAAGGTACAAATACGAACTTTTCACCTGGAAAAACTTATTTAAGGTTCACAATCGGACCTTAAAACCACTGTTGTACCTTTGAGGGAACATTTACATTGAATGAAAGATGTACCTGAACAGAACCTTTATTTCTAACAGTGCAGTAGTGAAGTGGTGACAAGCAAACAAGCAAATCATATTGTCATTTTTTATTTATTATAGGTTCTTTTTCATTTTTGGGGGGTCATGCATTGTTTACAGTGGTGTTCATGAGATCCTAGTTACATCACTGACATACTGTAATATTGTGATCATGTTGTAAGTATGATTCTCAAAATATGGATGGTTTATGTATAAATTACAGAGGCTTGAGTATCAAGTAAAGTACAATCAAGAAACTGTTTAATGTAACCTCCAAAGCTAATAGATGCTAGCGCACATGCTCCTCGATTCTGAAAATGGGGTCGTGAGAGATCCAGAGATCCGGTGAAAATAAATCATTCATATCCTGAATGTAATTCAAAATTAAACAGCGCAGATTTGGGAGGCTGGGATTGTGCTGTTTCGGAGATGGCTGTGGGGGCCGCTTGCCGGTTCAGCACTGGGCTTCTTAATGACTTCCTCACAGGCCCCTTATGCTGTTTGTTCACGTACTTTAGAAAAAAAGCCGTATTCCCAGTGTTCCCAGTGGCTGTCGACATTAGACGTTCACTTCCCGCAAATATGATATATAATGAATGATTCTGCAGAATTCGGGATCCGTGTAATAATTCATGACTTCTAAAGTGAATTTTTCATTTTGCACCTGGGAATTACTTACATTGTTTTTTTGTTTTTCCAAACTCAAGAACATTCTTCAGGATGCAGGCCTCGGAGAATTTACACAAGATTAAAACTACTGGCAGACCTGGTCTTGTTGAAAGACACATACGTTTCACGCTTGCGATGAAGAGAAAAGACAGAAATCCATAATCCCCACAATCCAGAAATTGCAGTGTTTCAGTAGCAAGACATATAATTGCACATAAATGTACATATATCAGGCAGAAATAAAATAGAAATAAAACAGACACAATTTATGCAGAAATAGAAAAATGCACACCAATAAATAAATAAGTAAACTATGAAAGAGTAGAAAAAATATATCTATTGCATATTTACGTCCGCAAATAAGCCAGATTAGTTGTTTTATTTATATATATATATATATATATACATATATATACATATATATATATATATATACATATATATATACATAAATATCTGTATCTGTATGTATACATCTCTCCTCCGCTGTTTATCTGTTTGTTAAATTGTTTTAAATATTTCTTTTTTATATGTTTACATTTTGGGCAGTTCAGTATGTAATGAATATTGCATCACTGTTAAATCCCTCACTAAAGAGTTCCAAACTGCCTCTGGAGGCAACACCAGCACAAGATCTGAGCGTCAGGAACTTCACAAAATGGATTTCCATGGCTGAGCAGCTGCACACAAGATCACTATGCGAAATGCCCAGCGTCGCATGGACTGGAGTAAAGCGCCACCACTGGACTCTGGAGCAGTGGAAATGTGTTCTCTGGAGTGATGAATCACACATCACTGTCTGGCAGCCTGATGGATGAATCTGGGTTTGGTGAATGTGAGGAGAACATTACCTACTGGTATGGTTGTGTAAACTACCTTTTCAGCATCATGTTAATGTGAAAACTTTCTATGCTGTAGCTTTTAGAGCCAGAAATCTGGCTCCCATCTGTGAATAATTCTGATGGAGCATTTCACACCTAACCAGTCTGAATGACTTCTTAGCAGCTGAGTTATGTAGAAATTTTGAAAAATGGATGGAGTTACCCTTTAACAAGTCGCTGGAAATAGTGTACACATGGTGCAACATATGGTGCACCCAAAGGGCACTTACGGCCCCAATACATTACTTCCTATATAATAAAATACTTCTATATTTCTTACCCTTATTTCAGACTGTTATAGTACACTCCTAAAAAAGATGGTTCTTCAAGGGTTCTTTAGTAAATAAAATGGTTCTATACAGAACCATGAACACTCAAAGAACCACTTGCATGATTAAATGGTTCTTTGCATCATGAATGGGCTCTTCAGATTGATGGACAATCTGCTGTAGATGGTTCTATATAGAACTATTTTAATCACAAAAAAAAGGTTACGATGTCAGGCTTGCAACAACAGCAGAACCTTTTTTTGTGATTAAAATACAACACATTCTCCATCAGTCTGAAGAGCCCATTCATGATGAAAAGAACCCTTTAATCATGCAAATGGCTCTTTACTATAGAACCCTTGAAGAACCATATTTTTAAGTGTGTAGGAGTTAACAGCAATACATGCATAGGACTGAAAGACTTTAAGACAAGTACAAACAATCTAATAAAACTATTAGGCACATTAGTAATAAAAATAAATAAATAAAGCAAGTAAGCATGAAAAGATAATATAGAAAACAGAAGTAAGACAACATTATTAATGATAAAATAGTAAAATAACAATAGAAAAGACACTGATAAAAAGTAATAATAAATAAAATCAAGGAAAACCTAAAACTAAATCAACTAAAATGAACTTAACAGACGTGGCTACTGGTCACTCTTTAATCCCTCAGAATAACTCTAATCCACAGCGTTTTCCTCTCAGTGTCCCTCAGCATTGTATGGAAGCTCACGTCCATCACTGGGAAAAGTATATATAACCAATTAGGAAAGCATCATAATGAGAAGGTTTTCCATAATTATGACTTAGTGCCTCAATAAGAACATTTTCTCAGAAAGTAATTAATAATTATGAAATATAGTTAGCATAATTACGACATACTAAGTCCTAGCTATGAGAACATAAGTCATGACTATGAGAAAGTAGCCATAATTATGAAATGTTAAGAATAATTGAGATGCTCAGTATAATTGAGATAATCAGTCATAATCATGAGATCCTAAACATAATTGAGTTACTAAATCATAATTGAGATAGATACTAAGTCATAATTATTAGTTTCTACATCGTAATTATGAGATGCTAAGGACAATTTAAGATACTAAATATAATGAGATACTAAGTCATAGTTGAGATATTAAGTCATTATTATGAGGTATTAAGAATAGTTGAGATATTAAGTTAAATTATGAGATACTAAGGATAATCTTGAGATACTAAGTATAATTATGAGATAGTAAGTAATAATTATGAGGTACTAAGTCATAATATGAGATAATAAGTATAATTATGTGATACTAACTATAGTCATGAGATACTAAGTTATAAGATACTAAGTATAATTATGAGATACTATGTCATAATTATTAGATACTGATTGATAATTGAGAAAATAAGTGTAATTATGAGAAGTATATTTATGAGATACTATGTCATAATTATGAGATATTAAGTGATAATTAGATAACAAGTATACTTATGAGATACTAAGTTATAATTATGAGAAACTAAGTATAATTATGAGATACTAAGTCATGATATGAGATAATAAGTATAACTATGTGGTACTAAGTATAGTCATGAGATATTAAGTTATAACTGAGATACTAAGTATAATTATGAGATACTATGTCATAGTTATTAGATACTGAGTGATAATTATTAGAAAGTAGGTGTAATTATGAGATACTAATATAAAACATTGAGATACCAAGTATTATTATGAGATACTATGTACAATTATAAGACACTACGTCATAATTATGAGATACTAAGTCATTATTCTGAGATGCTAAGTCGTACTTATGAGGTGTTAAGTCATTATGAGATGCTACGTCATAATTATGAGATACTAGGAGGTAATTAGATATACTAAAGGATAATTTTGAGACACCAAGTCATAATTATGAGATGCTACGTCATAATTTTGAGATAAGTACAAGTATGAAATACCATGTCGTCATTATCAGGAACTAAGTGCAATTATGAGACACTAAGTCATGATTATGAGAAAGTAAGTCATAATTATGAGACAGAATCTCTTTATTGTGGGATTCTAAGTCATATTTAAAGAAAACGTTTCTTTTGTTGCTTCTTCCTAAATGGTCGTGTGTTTATGTACCAGAGGCGGAAACGGGCTTCCTCAGAATCAGCGCTGCCGCTGCTCGTGCCGCTCTGGTAGAGAGGGACGGAGTCGGATTCCGCCCCCTGTCACCGCTTCACCCCTCTCCGCCTTAACGAAGTGCCGAAGAACGTCCAGCCACCTGGGTTCTGCTGTGGAGACTCGAGTCACTTTATTGAGCTGAAAAGAGCTGATCGGCTCCTAAACGTGGAGCTAATATTTGAGCAAGACGAGCGGATCTCCGAGCTTTAGCTTAGCCAAGTTAGCGGTATGCGGTGAAGAGTGTAGCCGTGAAGGGACGCTCAGCAGGCAGGTCGGGCGGACAAACCAAGCCTGCCGCCGCCCGGGCCCAGGTTTGTTGTAGTACATGCGCCCGACTACACCAAACGTCGGGTATGTACTCAGAAAAACAGTGTTTGTAACGTTTATGTCGCATCAAACTACGAAACTGGACCAGCACCACTGTTTAGCCTGACCGCTAGCCACGGCAGCTAACCGCTGCTGAATACGCTCCGCTAGCGTTAGCTAGGTTAGCCGGCGGGCTGGCCGAGTCTGAGGTTCTGTTGTTCGTCTGGTGAAACGAGTTTAGAACATTTTCAGAACCCTCACCATGTTCTGCCGAGGTTAGCAAGCTAGCTAACCAGTCCAGGCAGGGTGTCTTCTTAGCTAACAAAACGCTTCGCCCGTGTTTTCGCCCAGTCTGTGCTAACATGGCTAGGTTAGCTGTATCTGGTCAATCAGAGCCCGATTTGTTTTGTACTGGTCAGCGCGCCTTTACACCGGACCTGTTGGGAGAGAACTCCACTCAGCGCATAGATCAGCACTGCAGTGGCTCGGACAGCCTGTTCTCCCTGTCCCTTTCTGTGTCCCTGTCTCTGTCCCTTTCTGTGTCCCTGTCTCTGTCCCTTTCTGTGTCCCTGTCTCTGTGGGTCTGGGTATTTTAGCTGATATACTGTTAGCCCGGTGGACCTGTTTGGACACTCTTGTTGCCCGCTTAGCCAGCCAGCCGTAGGTACCCGAGCTATCCGAGCTACGCTCTTAAAAAGATGGTTCTTCAGAGTTCTTTAGTAAAGGCATAGGTTCTACACTCCTTAAAGAGATGGTTCGAGGGTTCTTTAGTAAAGGCAGTGGTTCTACACTCCTTAAAAACATGGTTCAACACGCTTCTTAAGTAAAGGCAGTGGTTCTGCACTCATAAAAATATGGTGCTTCAGAGTTCTTTAGTAAAAGAATAGGTTCTTCTTTCCTTAAAGAGATGGTTCTTCAAGGACTCTTTAGTAAATGCAGCTGTACTAGAATTTTTAAAAGGATGGTTCTTCAAGGGTTCTTTAGTAAAGGTAGTAGTTCTACACCCTTTAAAAAGCGTTTTTTTTTTTAAGTGTTCCTTAGAGGCGAAGACTCTATTTAGAACCTTGAGTTGTATATAGAGCCATTTGCATGCTTAAATGGTTCTTTGCATGGTGAAACTGTTCTTCGGATTGGTTGAGAATGTGTTGAATATGGCTTTTTGAAAATGTTTCCATATAGTACCAAAAACGCTTATAGTTTCTGGTGCTTCATAGAACCATATGCAACACATTCTCCACCAGTCTAAAGAACCATTTCTCCATGCAAAGAACCATTTAAGTATACAAATGGTACTGTATAGAACCTTTATAAAAGTGGTGCTATAAAGGGTTCTGCTATTCTGACAATGTCAAGCTTGTATACAAGAGAAGTATTTTGGTGCTTTATAGACCCATTCTCAAAAATGTTCTATGTAGAACCATATAGAAAACATTCACTGTCAATCTGAAGAACCATTTTCCCCAAGAATAGAACTCGTGGTTCTAAAGAACCCTTGAAGAACCTTTTTTTAAGTGGTTAAACACTTTTGACAAAATATGTTTTCCTTTCTTGCCAGCTGGAATTCGTAGATAGAAAATGTCAGCGAATGTTAACGAAACCTTGTTTTCGGGGCAACGAGGCAAAAATGTAATATCCCATAATACTTTTTTCACATTTTCACAACACAGGACGCATCACAAAATTAATTTTTTCTGTCATGTGATGAGTTGAAGCAGACAAAGTAGCGCCACATCGAAAAATGGCATCAAAATTATTCATCCAGTTGTTTCACTCACTGTGCTGCACTAAATCCAGTTACCCAGGACTAACGAGGGTCTTTTTAATCAAACAAGACTGACCATATTCACAACACACTCAGAATAGCCTAATACTGTGATGTAATTTATCATGATATTAACAAATATTGGCATATTGTCCAGCTATATCTTACTACACCGATCAGGCATAACATTATGACCACCTCCTTGTTTCTACGCTCATTGTCCATTTTATCAGCTCCACTTACTATATAGGTGCACTTTGTAGTTCTACAGTTACAGACTGTAGTCCATCTGTTTCTCTGATACTTTGTTAGCCCCCTTTTACCCTGTTCTTCAGTGGTTAGGACCCCCATGGACCCTCACAGAGCAGGTACTATTTGGGTGGTGGGTCATTCTCAGCACTGCAGTAACACTGACGTGGTGGTGTGTTAGTGTGTGTTGTGCTCGTTCGAGTGGATCAGACAAAGCAGTGCTGCTGGAGTTTTAATGTTATGTTATGCCTGATCGGTGTATGTTATATGTTGTAGCTCAGTTATCTAACTAGGTGTGAAACTAATATTATTCGGCTTGTTTTTACTTGTTTGCTGGCCAGAAAGTGATACCTGACAAGCTAAGAAGCAAAACTAACAGGCCAACCACTTTACATTTAGATTAAAAATAGACATAATGTAAATATTAACCATCTGTATCACACGGTCATCTTATTTTTTCCCTTCTCCCTGTGTTTTAGGAATGAGTGCATAGCTACGATCTCAGCAGCTGACGATGGTTTTCTCGAGTGCGAGTGGAGGACACAGTAGCAGAAGGAGTGAAGATGGGTAAGTATGATTGTTTTAATGCTGAAATGTGCTCCTGCGTGTCTTCTGTGGATTGTTTTTGACTCATTTAGACTCTGTGGGAGTGCCCACGCTCTTATGACTACAGGAAAGAAAAAGCAGCACCCGAGGGCTTGTCCACTGTGTTGCTCAAGAGTCACCCCTTGAAGCTTAGGCTCGGCTCGTAGGCAGGAGGGAGGGCGCTGAAGAACATGAGCGTAAGGCAAGGTTGAGAAATGGGGAGAACGTTATCTGCGCGTTCTGTAGTCCTCTGAAAAAGGGAATGTTACTGTAGTTATCAGATCATCCCTCCGCGCTCCTGACACCGTCTTCTCCTCTGTGTTGTGCGAAGGCTCGCCAGGCTCAGTGCATTAATCACAGCCCCATCTGTGATTTCCGAGGCAGATCCCGTTGTGGTCGGGTCGGATTGTTTGCTCTGTGGTTGGTTCCATTATGTTAGCGTGGGGAAAGTGAACGCTTTGTCATTATGGAGCTGCTTATCTTCTCTAGTGGCCATACGCACCACTTACGCTGAGTGTCAGTTAAACGATCCGGCTGTTGTTGTGTTTGCGAGTGTTTTTATTCAAGCACAAATAGGAATTTTGATAAGTTCTCTCGACTCATAGTTGCGGATGCTACGCCAGCGCCCTTTATGCAAATAAGCCTGAGTCACTCGTTGTCCAGTAGCTCGTGGGCTGGAGCTGTTATCAGGTAATACAAGACGACCACAGTCAGGGGTTTAGGAGACTCAGGAAAGGAAAAGGCCCGTCTTCTGTTCGCTCCAATAATCAGAGTCGTTGTTTGGCAGTGTTGAGCCCTTTTGGGTCGACAGTTTCGTACACAATATCAAAGGGTGTCGTACATAAAAGAATAAACATCTTGGGAATGCTGCGTGCTGCACACTTACTTTAATTTTTTTCCCGGAAGGCTAGGTTCCAGTGGGGCTCGAGTGAGATCGTATCCCTCTCAGAAGCTCTGTAATCCAGCCTTGAACTGCCTCTTTTTGGAGTCCTTGTGAAATAAATCCATAATCTGTGTAGGATTAGAGTTGTTGTTATTATGGCAATCCAGTGATGCCTTGGGTTGAGCCTGTCAGCCAATCAGAGGCTGTGTTCCTCGCTTATTGATCAATCGGAGTTGGCACTCCTGGCTTGTCCACCAATCAGAGGCGGCATTCCTGACCCGTTGACCAATCAGAGGTTGTGTTCCTGACTCGTTCACTAGTCAGAGGCTGTGTTAGTGACTCGTTGACTGATCAGAGATTGTGTTACTAAATGTAAACCTTATCACTGGGGAGGAACCCTCAAAGGAACATCTTCAGTACCTTTACAACATAATTGTACCATGTTCCATTGGAACTATACGTTTTAATTTTTAGTGACTTCACAAATCTCGTCTCGTCTCTAGGCTTTTTATTTCATTGTTCTGTTTTAAAATGTTAAGTTGTGAAAAGTTACAAATATAAGGTTTTCACAAATGCAATTTTTAAAAATCAAATTGAACAGGACATGATGTGCCTTCTTATATCTGCATCTGCTTAATTTGCATTTTTATGTGTGGATTTTCCAACTCTAATTAAAGTGAGTGTTATCAAAGCTTTTAATTGCCTGTTTTAGTTATTAAGCTGTGCTGGTCTGGTTGCTCCATCTGACTGACTAGTTGCGCCACCTGACTTTTCAGACTAATTTCGAATTGAACAGGCATCTACTTAGACACCCGTCATTGAGCTTGAGTTTATACTTACATTTTATTAAATAAATAAACATTATAATAATTCCACATTTTCATGGTTCTCCTGAGGTCAGACCACCTGACATGGTAAACGGAACCGTTCTAACCACGACTCAAACATCACACACATCACTTCCTCATCCTAATGATGCAGTACAGTGGCCCCTTTTAGTAAAAGCATGTCAAAATAAAAGTCCTTTGTTTTTGGTTGTGCTGCCTGACTTGTAAGGAAGTGAAAACTTGCAGATAAAGGTTTTTAAGTAAGTTGACCCTTATTTTGCTACATGGTTTTTATTTCAAAGCTTTCAAACACAAAATCATGCCAAAATGTTTTATTCTATTTACAGAATTTTATCACTAAATTACGTTTTTTGATAGGTTACCTAACCAGCATATATGCTTGGATGGTTGCACCATCTGACATTTTTAGACATTTGGAGGCAAAAAGAAACTAAAATGAATTTTATATGGATGCACTGAAAATAGTTTCACATGAAAGAGGTTTTGTTTAATAATTTAATATGTCGTATTTATTAAATTATTCTTTTGGGAAAAATAATAGACACACAAAATGCCAATGAGCCACATACCTGTCCTCTCTGAACAGCTTATTTTAGGTACATAGTTGTACCTTGAAGCCATTGTTGTACCTTTGAGGGTCCATTTAAATTGTTTATACCTTAAAGAATGAAAGATGTACCTGCACAGCACCTTTTTCGGACGGAGCAGAGCTGCTTCTGGGCGATTTATAACTGCATAACCTCGTACTGTAAACCAGGCTCGGATATTGTGTTTCTGAGCTATTTTGGAAAAGTGATTCATTGCTTTTCCTTTCTCATTGTGCGTCTCCTTCTATGTTTGGCCAGTCTGCCAGCCAATTAGGAAAGGCGTGTTATTTACAGCACAGGACTGCAGCTAAGTTTGCGTACCTCTCAGTTGGAATCGAATTGCCGCTCCTCTTGTATTTGGATCAAAGAGGGGGTGATTTAGGGGACCCCTGTGTTTGCTCCCTCCACACCACCCTGCCCCCTCCTCTCAGTGACCTGCCGCAGTGGAGGAGTAAGCATTTTCCACTGACTTTTCAGCTTTTAGCAGGTGCACAAGTGTAATTCGAGTTTGTCACAAAGGTGGTTTTGAGCTCTGAGCTGTATTGTAACCAGATATTCTTGCAGATCCTGCTGGAAGATCCTAAAAGCGGACCCGTTGTTAAAGTTCCGTGTATCCTATTGTCCTTGGAAACATCACTGTCATGTTTAGAGTGCAGTAACCAAAGAAATAGAGGTTTGTCTGTGTTAGTGGTGCGTCTGGGGCCTGTCTCAAGAAGACACCTTGCTTAGCCAGGTAACTTTAAAGCTGCGCTATGTAGGATTTTTTGGTTAAAATTGAAAGTGAGGAGAAAATAAAACATGTTGCTCTGAGTTGCCCTGTACTCATTTTCGTAATACACAATATGCATCATGATATTTAGTTTTTCTGAGATTTCATAAGTTGGAACCGACAAAGTAGAACGTATAGTGCCACATATAAAAAAGACTATAATTATAACAACTGCAAAGTGTTTTTTGAAAAAAAAGGCAAAGTGATGGCACAGCTTAAGCAGTTGCTAGGGTGTTGCCAAATGGTTACTATGGTGTTTTAGGTGGTTTCAAAGATGTTATATATTAAGTGATTGCTATGGTATCCCAGGTGGTTGCTAGGGTGTTGGATGCTGTGGTATACCAGGTGTTTGGCAGGGTGTTGGATGCTGTAGTATACCAGGTGGTTGCTAGGCTGTTGGAAGCTGTGGTATACCGGGTGGTTGCTAGGGTGTTGGATGCTGTGGGTTCCCAGGTGTTTGGCAGGGTATTGGATGCTGTGGTATCTCAGGTGGTTCCTAGGGTGTTGGATGCTGTGGTATCTCAGGTGGTTGCTAGGGTGTTGGATGCTGTGGTATCTCAGGTGTTTGGCAGGGTGTTGGATGCTGTGGTATACCAGGTGGCTCCTAGGGTGTTGGATGCTGTGGTATACCAGGTGGCTCCTAGGGTGTTGGATGCTGTGGTATACCAGGTGTTTGCTAGGGTGTTGGATGCTGTGGTATCTCAGGTGGTTGTTAGGCTGTTGGAAGCTGTGGTATACCGGGTGGTTGCCAGGGTGTTGGATGCTGTGGGTTCCCAGGTGTTTGGCAGGGTATTGGATGCTGTGGTATACCAGGTGGTTGCTAGGGTGTTGAATGCTGTGGTATCTCAGGTGGTTGCTAGGGTGTTGGATGTTGTGGTATCTCAGGTGGTTGCTAGGGTGTTGGATGCTGTGGTATCTCAGGTGGTTGCTAGGGTGTTGGATGCTGTGGTATTCTAAGTGGTTGCTAGGCTGTTGGATGCTGCGCTGTACCAGGTGGTTGCTATGGTTCTTAATAGGTATTGTAAGTCTAATGGACTTGTATCAACATAACATAAGTTGGGTGTGCAAACTTTTGCTCCCCATTTATTGCTATGGACAAAAATTTGTTATTTACTGATGCTTGTATGAAAACTGTAGGCCTGATCAAAAAGCTGTATACAGACACAACATTTCTGATCAGGCTAAGCAACAATACAACTCTTTCTAGATGGACACTTGAAGGGGAATTCCACTGTTTTTTAAAAAATTCTGCATGGTGGTGATGGAAACCAGGGGTTGCCATGATTACAACACAAATATAGACAGTTTATTTACTATCCAAAACCGCCAGTGAACCTATACGAGTCTTCTGAGTTTATATGAGATTTAATGGAAGTCGAAATCTTCTCAAAACTATCATAAAACAGTGTCTCAGTCATCAGGCAATGAATTCATAACCCCTTTTATGTAGTAACTTTCTGTGAGGGAGCTTTTAGAGGTGGACGTCTGGTTCCTATCACCACCACTGTGAACAATTCTGACTCTGTAAGTTTCTCTAGAACGAAGAACCACTCTGAATGGCTTTGTTTATGTCTTAACCACTTAATTATGCAGAACTTTTGAAAATATTTTTGAAATATTTTTAATATTAGGAATGTATATATGAAGTTTTCTGATGATACTGCAGATCAGGTGTCAGATAAAGCAGTATAAGTATAGACAATGTTCCATATAGAACCAGGAACACTCAAAGAACCATTCGCATGCTTAATGGGTTCTTCAGATTGATGGTGAATGTGTGTGTTGTACAGGGTTCTAAATACCTCTGTTAATACAAGCTTGACATTGTAACAGTAGCAGATACCTTTTTGGTGCCCTATAGAACTGTACACAACACATTCTCCATCAGTTTTCCTGGGATAACACCATTTAGGGTAAATTTTCCAGGGCCAGTTTCCCAGATCCAGATCAAATCCATGTCTAGACTAAGTTGTTTTTTTCCTCTTTAGTGGTGAGTCACCATAGGATCGGTGTCCAATACTAAACGTAAGCCATGGTCAGGACGGCGTGTACAGTCATGAAAATCCTGGTCAAGGAATTCAGGAATTTGGTTTCTGGGCCTGGAAATGTTCTGTAGGGTGTGTTTGTTCTACTGCTCACATTCTGAAACACTGAATAAATCTGGATCACAATCAGTGGCTGTGATTTCTTGTTGCATGTGGCTGATTGATTATTAGCGTAACAGCATTTGAGTGATAAATAAAAAATGCCCTAAAAGTCAGAAGCAAAAGAAAAATTTCAGAAGCAAAAAATGTATCAGCAAATAGAAAAAACTGAAAGCAAAATCTGAGTAGAAATCTTTAAAAAATAAAAAAAATCATTATTTGTATTTGCAACAAATTTGACTCTGACTTTTGGCACAAAATAAGCTCTTAATTAAGCAAATAGAGTAATTACAGATTCCTCTCCTCCAGTCAAACATATTTTCCAACAACTTTCTTCTGTGACGAGCTACAGAACTTTGAAAACTAAGACCGCCAGCTTTAAGAGCAGATTTTTTCGTACCGCGGTGAGGTTACTAAACTTTTCAGGAGCAAAAAGTGTCTCTGCAAATCAGCAAATAGAAAGAAATTAAAGAACAACTGGCAAAATGACTAAATTTATATCAGAATGATTGAAAATGAATAGAAATCTTTTTTAAAAAACTAAGTTAGATTTGATATTTTGGACATTTTTATATTTAACATTTTGCTTTTTGATTTTATAATTTTATTTGAAACTTTTGGCCCAAAATTAACTCCATAAATTTTGCGCTGAGTATAAACAGAACGAACTGATGGATTATCTTTGAAGCGTTACCAACAATACCTTCCAATTTATTACAAGTTTGAACATCTGCATTTCCAAACAGTGACAGATGACTTATGAACACTCGATAATGGACGAATAAAATTCAGCCAGTAGATCTTCTTACTCACTTTGTGCTTTCTTTAGTACAGTGTCTCCAGCCCTAATCAACCCCACCTGATCCATCTCATTACTGCCTTCAGAAGTACTTGATTAGCTGAGTCTGGTGTGTTTAATTTGGGTTGGATGTGGAACATGCAGGAGGAGGCTGGTGACCAAGGCTTTAGAGTTAAGATTACTTAAATACGCTGTCAGAACAAAACCTTGTATCTCCAAAATGGTAACTTTACAGGAGAAGGAAAAAACCTACTTTACTTTTAATGTAAGTCAGTGGAACCAGAATTTTCTCCAAGTCATTTTGGGCCGTTTCTTTTGGTCCATTCATCATGAAATTTATATACAATGTAAAGGCCAACAGGTATATTCAAATTATGTCAAAAATTAAGATACAAGGTTTTGTTCCAACTGCAGTGACATGTCTTTGAGTATAGCTGGTGATTAAGCATAAAATATCAGTTTTGGTAGGCCAAGGACAGCGTGGGAACATGTTTGAACATTTCAAACGTTCAGGAGAACCTAAATTAACAAGCCAGTTTATTTGTATGTGAAATGTTGGAGTTCAGTGCAGTTCCATTGGTTAAAGGTCTCTGAACCCTTGGTGAAGGAATGAATGAATTGAACCTTTTTAGCCAACTGTGTCTGAACACATCGGAATTAGACCTCCGCATTTAACCCATCCGTGCAGTGAAACACCACATACACACTAGTGAACACACACACACACACACACACTAGGGGGCAGTGAGCACACTGTGAGCGGTGGGCAGCCCTATCCATGGCGCCCAGGGAGCAGGTGGGGGTTAGGTGCCTTGCTCATGGGCACTTCAGTCACATACTGTAAGCTGAGGGGATCAAACTGGCAACCTTCTGGGCACAAGGCTGGTTCCCTAACCTCCAGCCCACGACTGCCCCCAGTCCATCCCTAAAAGTGTTTTAGAAGCAAAATGCCGCGTTTTGTTTTAGATTCAACCTATTAATGACAACCATTTGACCAGCAACTGGATGACTGTATGCCTGTTTGATTGATTTCCTGATATTTCAGCCATTAGTGTATCATGAAAGCGGATACGAGTGGGCGATATGGAAAAAATACTATATCACGATACTCAACTTTTCAGTATATACAATACGTATCAACATATTTTGACACACAGACAAAATGGCATGTTATAAAATGGATAGTGCCGGTCTTAAAATCTGATTGTCTGAGCTGCGTTCGAAACCATTGTAAAATCCATGATATACCCACACCTCTGGCCACCTCACAACAACTGAACTCTGTATCACTGCACCACAGCATGAAAAAGCCCTTCTGCTGTTAATGGATGAATCTTTGAGTCTTATGCTGCTGGCATGGTCCACCGAGTGTACTGATGTTTAAACTGAGGGGCTGACAGCTTATGTTCTTAACCGGAACCAGGCTGGTCAGCTAGCTAACAGGCTAAAAGAGCCAACAGCCTAAACAGCTCCATCATTAATATCACAGGCTTGAATTAAAGCACTTACAATATGATTAACTGTAAAACAGCAGTATAAAAGTCTAAAAATGTCACTTGAGTGTCTCACACACCTTAAATGTTCGTGTTTTAGTCAGAAGTTGCGTCAAACCCAGACTGAATCCCAAACGGCTCTGTACTCCTTAAATAGTGTGCTAGATATGAAAGTTCAGAAATTCAGAATAGTGCATCATTTATCCCGTGTGAATGAGTCTGAATCCCAAATCACTATTTCCTAGCTGTATTTTGCTCTGTTGGGCTGCAGGATCCAGTATTTAAACTCCTACATAGTGCACTATGTAGGGAGCAGGGAGCTGTGTGAGATCCAGCCCCAGGGTGAGAAGAGGGCGCCGCTGGATTGGTGCTAAATAAGACTCACGGTGGTGATTTAATGACCAAGAGGTTCTTATAAAGCGAAGGGTTTGCAATAAACAGAGCTGTGATATCATATGTTCGTTGTTATACGACAAAGTTCATTATCTACAGCGATGGCCGACTGAATGTTCTTCTCAGTGGTCAGTGGTTGCTTGGCAACGATACCATACTCTAAAGGAACTACGTTTCTTGGTGAATACTTGTTTATGTAGATTTCTCTAAATAATAACTTGAAATATGATAAAATGCACCTTTATTTAGAAAATATTTTATTTTGGCCACCATTTTATAATCAGTAAGGCAGAGCGTTACTGTGATTTAATCACAGGGAAGGGAATATAAGGCGCTCAGCTTTGCGTCGTGCCTGAGGACACCCTTCTCTTAATAAAATCGCAGTAACTCACAGCCTCTCGTAGCTTATTGCTTTAGTATTAAAGCAATGTCCCTGCTATAAAATAAAATATTGGTTGGAACATTGGCTGAAATGCTCCTGTGCTCACTGATTATATCAGGTGTAATAGATTAGGGTTGGAAGTAAACTGTGCACTGAACTATCCTATAAACACAGAGAGCTCATATCACCCTGTTTGCACACTGCACTGACCGCCTGGATCTTTTTAGAGAGAGTTTAAAGCTCTGCTGCTGGTTTTAAAGCTCTAAATGACCTTAAAGCTCCTGAACGTCTGTTTATGATCTCAGATCTGCAGATTCTGACCTTCTGAACACCTTCAGTAAAACACAGAAAACGTGGAGAGACTCTTTCAGTTATTCTGCTTCTAAACTGTGTGTCAGGCTCCGGTCTTCGTGGGCTGAAACACTGCAGACTTCAGCTCACTGCCTCGTTAAACACACCTGATTCAGCTCATCAGCTGATTATCAAGGCCTTCATGACCTGAATTCAGAGCATTAGATGATAAACACTGATCTCCACAGCACTTTGACCAAGAAGGTCACCAGTTTGATACGCCAGATCTGAACTGTGGAGCTCAGTTCACCTTTTATTAGACAATCAAGCTCAGAGCTCACTTTTAATAAACACCTGAAAACACAGCGTTTAACTAAAAGTCCACTTTATATTTTTAATTAGTGTCATTGTCTTTAATTCTAATTAATACTTAGAGCTTTTTCTATTTCTGTTAAGCTTTATCTCTCCTGTCTGTAAAGCACTTTGAGCTGTCACCGCTATGAAAAGTGCTTCATAAATAAAGATATAATAATAATAATAATAATAATTATTATTATTATTATTATTATTATTATTATTATTATTTAGAGACTTTTTTGCTCTTGCCTGGTGCTGGATGTACTTATTTCCTGTACGTGTTCCTCCACAGTTATGCTGCAGATGATCTGAAGCTGGCCTTGCTCCACCACTGAAGCCAGTATGAGTGAGGTCCAGGCCACTGTGGAGTTCTCTGTAGAGCTCCACAAGTTCTACAACGTGGATCTCTTCCAGAGAGGGTAAGTCTGCCCCCCACCCACTTTCCTCTCCCTTGCTGTTAACAGCGCTCTAGAAAATGTCGTATCGCTGCTGTCAGAACAAAATTTCCATTTTTGTAATTTTTGAGTTTCTGACATAATTTGAAAATACCTGTTGATCTTTACAATGTGTGTAAATTTCATGATGAATGCACCAAAAGAAACGGCCCAAAATGGCTTGGAAAGACGTCTGGTTCCATTGACTTACATTGTAAGTAGAGTATGTTTTTTCCTTCTCCTGTAAAGTTACTATTTTGGAGATACAAGGTTTTGTTCTGACAACAGTGATACTTTTATTTGGTTTTCATTGTAATAAAACAGGCAGGTGTCTGTAGTGGAGGCTGTGACTGATTATGAAACAAGCCGTGCCTGTCACACACACACTCGGGCTAATCATGAGTTGATCTGTGTTTAATTACTGCTGGGCTCAGACATGTCTTAACGATATTGCTTATTCACGTGAGTTAAACATGTGCGCATGTTTCTCTGGAATGTAGAGCTAATTGTAATGACACTACAGTAACGCCCCAAAGATCACGTGTCGGACCTTAGCACTGCAGAGTTCAGCATTCTGCCTCATTAAACACACCTGATTCAGCTCATCAGCTTGTTAGCCAGGCTTTTGTGAGTTGAGTGTTAGAAGAGGGAAATAGCAAAGCTCTGCAGAGCTGCGACCCAGAAGGAACCCAGTTTGACACCTCTGCTGTCGATAGTTTGGAAAGTTTAGTGATGTTTATGAATCCCCAGGGTAAAAAATTATGAACAGCTTATGGCCAAAATCCAGATGGACCCAAGTGACCAAGTGGTGGTGTGTTAGTGTTTGTTGCGCTGGTCTGAGTGGATCAGACACAGCAGTGCTGCTGGAGTTTTTAAACACTGTGTCCACTCACTGTCCACTCTATTAGACACTTCTACCTTGTCAGTCCACCTTGTAGATGTAAAGTCAGAGACGATAGCTCATCTGCTGCTGCACAGTTTGTGTTGGTCATCCTCTAGTCCTTCATCAGTGGTCACAGGACGCTGTCCACAGGACGCTGTTGGCTGGATATTTTTGGTTGGTGGACTATTCTCAGTCCAGCAGTGACACTGAGGTGTTTAAAAACTCCAGCAGCACTGCTGTGTCTGATCCACTCATACCAGCACAACACACTAACATACTACCACCACGTCAGTGTTACTGCAGTGCTGAGAATGATCCACCACCCAAATGGTACCTGCTCTGTGAGGGTCCATGGGGGTCCTGACCACTGAAGAACTGGGTGACAAAGTATCCAGAGAAACAGATGGACTACAGTCTGTAACTGTAGAACTACAGAGTGAAACTATACGGTCAGTGGAGCTGATAGAGTAGACAGTGAGTGTATATGTGAAGGGAAAATGCAGTTTTGTTCACCACGTCTCCTTTAACTGTGCTCTGCGCTCTCTTTACATCTGTGAGGCTCGCTTTCAGAGTCTTTTTTTCTTTTTGTTCATCGGAAGTTGCTACACCCTTCTCAAAGGATGCTTGCATAGTTGGATTGCTCAAGATGAAGTTGTGCTTACATGTTAGAACACAGAACATGATAGTTTTGATGATCTTCACTTCTTCTGTGCGTCAGAGAAACCCACTGAACTGATTCCTTATTTATGAGGCAGTCTCTGTGCATCTCTGAAGAAAATCTATATCTGTGGACTCATGATCGTTTGTTAGACAGGACAATTAAAGTATCTAGTCAAAGATCATACGCTGTGTGACCAGTGAGTCTTGTTCGCCTTTATGAATTAGTTTAGATTGAGTCCTTTAATTAAGTTATGCTCGGTTTGCTTTGCAGCAAGCCTCAAAACAGACCAAGGCTTTTACGGACAAAAACGGCCATTTCAGTGACTCGTATGAGAGCCATGGAGGACACTTTTTGTATGTAATGTGGCCTATTAATAAATGTGGTTATAATAATCCATGTGGTACAACAAGGTGAAATAAAAACAAACCACAAACTTTTTGAACTCTTTTGCTCACAGCTATAATCTTGTTTTCTTTCTTAAATTATGACTATTACAAAAACTGCGGCCATGCTATTTCAGCTGGTAAAAACAGCTCACCAGACACTTTCTCCCACTGTCCCCTGACAGATTTGTGCGAGTTTGTTTGGCGAGTGTTTGTCGTGTTCCGACCATGAAGGATAGTTTAAAACAGCAATTAATCACCCAGGAGCAAAAATCAGCCTTCAAACTTGAAAGATATAATGATCTGGCATTTATTGCGGTATGTATCGATATCGAAACTATTTGAATTTTTATCGCGATAACATTTTTGGCCATGTTGCTCTAGTTATACTTTATTTGGGCTTCTCTTCATTCATTTGTGGGATTTCTCTTCATGCATGCTTTGTCCCGCTCCTGCCTGCAGTGGGCTGGTTTCTCTCCCACTCCCAAGCGCAAACTAAAAATTAGTCCCGCACCACAAGATATTGTGGCAAGTCTTGTTGGTTCCGAGGGAATCCTCAGGAGGGCAGACCACTACTTGGGGGCATCAGGTGATTGTTTGAGCCCTGCATTTGGAAGGAGAAAAAGAACAGAATAAACAGCAGCATTCAGCAGTGACCTGCTCACAGCTGTTAACGCTGCAGTTCACAGCCCCGAGATGACATTCCACGCAGCCGACACTTTCGCCATGACACCGAGGTTTGCTCAGCTGTTGGCCAGGAAGCGAGATATGGCCTCCGTTCTTCCCTCAGAGGTCCCAGCTTGGTGCGCGTTCTTCCTGCTCTGCAGCCCATCTTCCGGCTTAAGCATTGTGTTCTGATCATTCCCTCTCCCGGCATACTTCTGATTATACGATATTCCTCAGAAGGTGCGCCCTGTTTCTGTCCTCTGAGCTTCTCTTCTGTGGGCAGCACATGGAGGGAGTTAAGAGGCCGAGTGGAATAGGCTTCTGCCTGATGCAACATGGATTTTCCGGTTTATTCTACTAAGCTCCAGTGCAGAGGAAGGGCAGAGCGTGGAGGAATGCGACGTGTCTGAGTGCTTCAGCAGTCCCAGCGGTTCTCCTGACTCAGACCCACGACTGCAGTGGCTGTTTAACTCTCCTGTTATGTTTGTGTGTTTTACTGAATGATGTTTGACCCTGTATGGCTAAATCACCTCAAAACAGTCCTAGAACATACGTATGGTTCTTCAAAGGCTTTTTAGTAAAGACAGTGGTTCTATATAGAATTATAAACACTCAAAGAACCCTTTGCATGCTTAAATGGTTGTCTATGTGGTGAAAATGCCAATTAGATTGATAGAGAATGTGTTGTATATGGTTGTATTTAGCACCAAAAAGGGTTCTTCTACTGTTACAAGCTTGACATCACCGCAACAACAGAACCGTTTGTGGTGCTATATAGAACCATTTTCAAAAGTGTTCTATGTAGAACTATGTGTAACCCATTCTCTATCAATCTAAAAAGCGATTTCACCTTATACACAACCATTTAAGCATGCAAATGGTTCTTTGAGTGTTTATGGTTGTAGATAGAATATATGTGGTTGTATATAGAACCATTGTCTTTGCTAAAGAACCCTTGAAGAACCATCTTTTGTGAAAGTATTCTACTCTACTACTTCATTTGACCCTGCTGGCCAACTGCTCACCCAGCTTAGTTACTCTATTTTGATAATGAGCAGTAAAATACCTTATTTACATTCAAGTATGACAGTAGTTTTCATTACAAAACACACATTTTGGAGCATTTCAAAGGTTTAAACTGCTGTTTTGGATGTAGAAGCCGGATATTGAACTGGGTTATCTCTTTCTATCACATACATATGTCACAGATATTTAGTTTGTGTTGATGACATCACATTATGAATATTATTTTTTTGTTGTTGGGGTTTGTTCTTAGGTAAGAACAGAATCTACACACACTCAAGAGCGCAAAGGTGAGAACAGTTCTGCGCTGTAAGAACACGTCATGAATCTGACGGAGACTTCTTCTTCGGACCTTTCTCAAGAACACATCTTAGGAAGACATTGATGAATGAAGCCCAATGATAGGACAACATGATATTTTTGTTGAAATGAGGACATTTTGCTGGTCCTCACTTGAGCATGTGCTGTTTTGACCACAAATTACATTTATTTATTTTTTATTTTTGGAAAATCTAAAAGAGCAGCAAAACCTTCATCTTAAAATCTCAGGCTTATTACATACTTAGGGTTATTATTCAGTAACTACAGGGACTTCAACGCAAACTGATGAAGGTTAGGGTTAGATCTGTGGTCTAGGTTACTGTTGTTTGACTACAGTTCCGCAAAAAAACAATAGAAACCTATGGAAGTCCTCACATGTACAGCAAGACAGATGTGTGTATGTGTGTGAAACCTTACCAATTTTAATAAACTTGCACTGTGTGTCTCCAGTCTGCTGCGTTCTCGATGTTCATTCAGAAGTACAGGGTCAAATCTGACCCTGAACAGTGTTTTCATACCCAGGAATTGTAGAGAATTTATTAAACATTAAATTGGTCATTTTCATTTTTACACGTTCATGTCATCACTGTTCAGAAAGTCAAGTTTTATGAAAAATTCAAGTGTAATGATATTTTGGAGACTTTGAAGGTTCATTCTTGCCCTGGAACACGATAGGAGGGTTTAGCTTTGAGCTCTGATAACCTTTGTAGAAAATGAAACAAACTGTAAGTTTCGGACAGAGTCTGCCATTAAGCAGAGCTTCCGGATGTGGGGAAGAGAACCGAGCAGGCGGTTAAATGTAGTGATGTGAAAGTGCTGATTACTCATTCATGAGCGGTTCAGTGCTGGCCTATATGCTTTTATGTCCGCTGACCTGAGCAATTAGTTTGCCTCCTGTTAGGCTTCTGTAAAAGAGCCAGTGAGTTGATTGGTCCCATGTTATGACCCCAAGCCTTTGTTTCCAGATGTTCTTTCCTGATGTCTGTATACTGTAGAGAGATTTGTGGTGGCTGGCGTTAGGGTTGGGTGGTATTCCCCTTCTTTGGTGCGTTTACGGCATTTGGCTGACCCTCTTATCCAGAGCGACTTACCATATGAATATTACAGAGGTAGATGAGGGTAGTGTTGGGAGTCTTGCCCAAGGACTCTGATCGGCACACTGTAGGGTGCTTGGCCAGGCAGGGATCGAATCCCACTCTGCAGCAGGGAGGGTAGAGGTGTTACACATTTCACTATACTAACCAAAACATGAAAGTATTTTTAATTTTCTACATGCCTTTACATCTTTTGACCACTCAGTCTGCTAACAGCTCTGCTCAGCACTGAACCTGTTGTATTCTGGCTAATTAAAGCTAACTGGCTGAGTTAGTTGGCAAGGCGACAGGACCTTTAGATTGATGGCAAATTCGCTGTAGATGGACCCTTTTTGAAAATGGTTCTATATAGCACCAGATGGGTTCTTTTATTGTTACGATGTCAAGCTTTTAACAATAGAAGAAAACTTTTTGGGCGCAAAATAAATAAATAAATAGATAAAAGGGTTCTATATAGAACCACCTGTAGCACGGTCTTGCACATTTTCCATCCAATTGAAAAATCCTTTCACGATACAAAGAACCATTTAATCCTGCGAAGGATTCTGTGGTGATGGTTCTATATAAAGAACATTTTGATAGTGCAGCAACTGGAACTTTTTTTTCCTTCAACTTTTTACATTTTTATTTCAAGTATACATTTACAAGAATTGCAAAATAAAAAGTTTCACGTTGAAGAATAAAAAGCAATGATTAAAGAATAATAATAGTAAAAAAAAAGATAATAATACAAAAAAAGAGATGTTTAAATAAGTTATGACAGTAACTACTGAACACCTTTCCAGTCGTTTTCTTTTGTAAAAATCCTCCATTTTAATCTCAAAAGAAATGTGATTTTTTTTTTTTCCCATTGCATAAATCTCCCTAATTATCGACCACCATTCCTGTTGGGCGGGCTGGGGGCTTTTTTCTAAACCAGTTCCTTGTGATGGCTGTTGTTTGTTGTTTTTTTTTGTGTTTGTCTGCTGCTACCATTAATATCAGTAGCTAATGCCGCTGTTTATTTCTTGCTGCAATGTCTGGCTCCCGTCCCAGAATGGCTAATAAGGGGTCTTTCACTCATTTTCATTCCAAGATTTCTTCTATGGAATCATATACTGACTGCCAGTAGTTAGGGAGATGGGGAGCAACTGGATGGGAATCATCCAGCTCAAGCAGCTCAAACTGGGCTGCAAACGTCTGAGCCATGTGTGGAAGAATTGCTTCTGAGTTTTTACCTGGCTCTGATGTTTTTTCCCCTATTTTTTGTCAGCGCCATATACCTGTGAGCTCCCACACAGCCCATCATTGACCCTCTGAAGCAGAGGTCACTAATAGGCGGGCTGCAGCGTGAGTCCGGACCCAGACGTTCTCCTATGTGGAACTGGACCTATAACCGATAAACTATGGATAATTTTTTTAATTTTGATGAGGTGGTCCTATTTTAATCAGCGTAACTTTTCTAGCCTTTACGGTGCTGCTTTAGCTGCCCGGGAGACTCACAGACCAGTCGCATGCTTTGTAAATATCACACGTGATGCTACTCAGCCAATCAGATCTGTGCATTATGATGAGCGCTGAGACTCGAGTGAGTGATGCGCACACAGGGGAGGGACGAGGCGAGAAACAGCAGTCGGAGGAGAAAGTGAGTCAGAGGGAGGTTATTTCACGTCGTAATCTAAAAGGAGAAAACTGACAGTTAAAGGGTTTTGAAATATCACTGAATTGTGCTTTATTTGATTTGATATTCAGTTGTTGACTGTATAAGATGTTGATATACCTACTAGGCTATTTCAGTAAACAGTAATTGGCCTTGAGTCACGATGCAAGTTAGACGTTATGATGTTCCGGACCTTTGCTTGAGGACATTTTCTATAACTGGACATTACTGAATTTTAATTAAACACCTCTGCTCTAAAGTATAAATGGGTAAAATGTGTTTATTTATCTGTACAGGTGTGGAATAAATCTTCGATGCATCATAATTTTAAATTCTCATCATAATTTTTAAATACTGTGGTGCACCTTATTAGTGCTGTACCACCCAGCCTTAGCTTTATATGTGCATTATATAATTAGTAATTGTGTCAGAATTGCAGTGTTTCTTGAATAAATCACTGCTAATGAGTGGATCTGTTGCAGAGACTAATTTTCAGGTTACTGTTCTGTTGTTATATTGACTGTTTTAGTAATGGTCTCTGTTTGGTTTGACAGGTTTTATCAGGTACGTGGCAGTATGAAAGTACCTCCAAGGACCCCTCACAGAATAGAGGCCAGTCTTCTTCAACCCACAAGTAAGTCCAGCAATGCCTTACTTTTCTCGCTCTGACTCATGCACACACATGCCAGAGAGTCAGTCTTCATGCCTGGCTAGAAAACCTTCGTGCTAACTTGGCATAGGTGGGTTTTCACTTTCAAATCTAGATCAAGGTCCTGCAGATTAAATCAGTGTTTGTACACATGAACTTTGGCTGAACTTCCAGGTGGATAACGCATCCAGTCGGAGGTAGAAGCAGCTCGTCTTAAGCCTTGGGTTTACTGCACGGCTTTTAACGTCCTTAGAGATTGTAACTCACACTATCTAACAGGTTTCTGCACATTTCAGATGACTGAAATATTGGGGGGCGTGCACTGCTCAGTTTTTAAGTTGAAGCAAACTTGGGGGAGCACATGTTCTCGCGTTACGAGGAGATGCACATACACAAATGCAGAGGAGCTGCTGCTGTTTTCGCTGCTGTTACAGTAAAGATTCAACAGGTAATCGTTATAAATGAGGGTCATAGATGTAAAGGTGTGATCATTGTGGTCGTTTTTTAGAGTTTTAGATGTACCTAAACTTGGTTGTGCCTTAAGCTCTGTTCATTAAAAAGGGTCACTCCACACACAAGTGTCTTATTGTCATTTTTCTTTGTTTACTTGCTGTATTTTCTTCTTGTGTGCTCTCAGTTTTCACTGGCTTTGGAGAATTGGAGGAGTCCTTTCAGACGGAGTCGCTGACAAGTTTACACTACTAGATTACACTCCGCGTCAGGCCAAAAAATCTAACGTTTGGTAAACTCTGACTGATCTGAAAGGCGATCGAGAGACAAAAGTCTGCGTCTGTTGTTGTATTTAAGGCTGAAATGTCAAATGCCTTTTGGAGAAATGAGGACCATGTGCCTTTAAGTAGTGCAAAGGTGTCGAGAGAGAGAGAGAGAGAAAGAGAAAGACACGGGGAGAGAGAGAGAGAATGTAAAATGTCAGTTAGGAAAACTACCTTTTTTGCTCTCTGCTTTATCCACCTCACAGCTCCCCCACTTCTCTTTATGTTATCTTAAGTTTATTTTCAGTGCATTAAACTGCTCATAAACGCCGCCGTGTTTTGGAGCTCCGTCGCGCTGCAGTGTGATTCTGCTGCAGTGAAAAGCAGCTCAAGTGACTGGCTGTCACCTTAGAGCAGCTAGCCCTGACCCTGAGACTTTTTAGAGCAAAAAAAAGTTCCCATCATCCCCATCCATGGCCTGGAAACAGGGTCAGAGAACAGGAAAACTGGAACAAGAAGCTGGCGAATAGGAAGCCATTTTCAGCTCCGTCCTTCTCACTGTGTTTTGGGGCTTTATTTTATTTTTATGTGTATTAAGATTAGAAGTGATTCACACATTGACGGATCGGCTGGTGTGAGTGAGATTATGTTTCCCACACTAAACTCAGTTTTTGCTGTTCAAAAACAACAACGGACCCAAACAAAACCACCTGAATTTATGGTTCTAGCCCTTGTTCATTTCCCACCTGCTCAAGTGACAGTGGGAACTGTTTGTAATAACCACAATTAACGATTTAGTTGTTATTTTTGGTTTTTGCTATGGTATCCCAGGAGGTTACTAAGGTGTTGCTAGGCCATTGCTGTGGTATCCCAGGTGGTTACTAGGGGGCGGAGTGAGAGAAACCCTTTATGACATTATTTGTGGCACTGAGATTTGAATTTTCAGTATGTGCAGTCAGTGCCATATATATTTCCATATAGCTCATGTGTCAAACACAAGGCCCGCGGGACACAGTCCTATCCAGCCCGCAAAAGTTAATTTCCTATTAAGATTAGCCTGTTTCAAAGTGTGCTACACTACAGTCCCCAGCGTGCACTGCAACATAATGTGCGCTCTGACTTTGCTACCCCAACAACAGTCTATGGGACAGCCATAGAAATACATACCTAGATGCTGCGTTGGGTCCAGCCAGGCACGTCAACGGCGCCGCCATTTCGGGGTGGTCAACATCGCTGCGGGACTGCATTCAGAACCATTACAGAGCGGCAGTTTAAGAAAGATACTGTCCAAAATTACACTATTTCAGGAATATCACACTCAGAAAGAGGGACAGGATTATATAACGGAGGGAACGCAGTGATCCACACTCATGTCTGTGTGGTGTTGATTGTTTATGTGATGTTTATGTGGATATGATCGTGTGGTTGGTGAAGCACAGAGAACCTGTTGATGTGATGGTTTTTCCTCTGGTTTTATATTAAGCTTATTTCATTTAATAGTCTATTCAGGCGATCCTAACTTGATGTAGTAGTTATTTATTTACAGTGATGGTTAAAGCTTTTTAGCTCGGTAAGTTATATCATTCTTTAATCCGTGTAGATATTCATAATAGATTAACGTTAGAACCATTTTACACGGACCTTACACAATTCTTGTTTGAGTTTTAGGTTCCACCTGAAATAGTGCAGAAAGTGACCAGAAAGTCACAGCTGCACCGTGTAAGGTGGAACGGGAAAACTCGATCAAGAAGCTGGCGAATAGGAAGCCATTCAGCTCCGTCCTTCTTGCTGTGTTTTGGGGGATTATTTTATTTTTATGTGTATTAAGATTAGAAGTGATTCACACATTGATGATTTGCTGATGTGTCAGAGTGTTTTTGTCGCGCTAAACTCGGTTTTTATCGTCAGGTGCAGACTGAATACTTTCCTGCTGGTCCGGACGGCTAATTATCACGATCAGTTATTACAGTAATAAAAGCTACTGAGAGCAGATCCGAGCAGCCTGGATTAATCTGTGTCTGAGGATTATAACTAAACAGATTGGGTGAAAATCGGTTGAGTCATAAGGAAGTTGTGGCTGATTTAATCCTGAGACTCTTCGTCTCTCAATACGAGTGAATCTGTTCACAAGCAGATCTTGACCTCACCAACATATCGCCTCAGATAGAGAACAACAGACAATGCGGTGTCTAGGTATGTAGATCTATGGGAACAGCGATGACACCTCAATTCTACACAATTCCACATCAGTCACCAGAATTTCTTCCCAAGGCAAGACCAGCCCATATGCAGCCCTTCCACTCCATGGGTTACGGTTTCTTTATGGAGCTGCACTCGGCATTATGTAAGCTGCACAGCCCTACGCACACCGGCACTCGCGATTACATAAGCCGTGCTCGTTGCCTCCCATAGGCCTGCCAGGATCCACACTGTAAGCCGTAGGAGTCTCCAGCCCCTCACGGGATCTTTACACGCTCCTTGTGGGGATGGCAGTGTGGTTTATGGTTCATGCAGCACTAGGAGACAACAAGGTTTGGTGGATGGCTGGAAGATGGAAGTGTTTCATTTCTTCATGGCTTCTTGAGGCTTCAGTTTAAAGGCTTTGCAGTTCAGAGACATTTTGTTATTCATATTATACTATAATAATATAATAGTACAAGCCTCAAGTGGCCTGATTGGCTGATTTATAACCTGCTAGCTATGTTTACTGCGGCCAACGCTGGCTTTAGTTAATGAACATCTACCGTTACAGAGAATTACATATAGAGTCGATTATATATGTATATATGACTATATATGTTCTTTAAGCAAAAAACACTCATACATGCCACAAACTTTACAGTTAGCTACATAGCTAACAAATAAACAAACACTACTCTTACACTTCATACACAAAGCTGTTGTCCGGACATTTCATTGGCAGATTAAATGTTATGTTGTATGTAAATGTCATTATTCTGCAGCAAAAGCTTTTCAGATAAAATAATATTTTGGGTTTCTGTTAGAATAGAGCCGATCTGAAGGCCAGCCTTTATTTTTTGTAAGCAGATCTATTAAGAAAGCTCTTAATACAAGGGCTGACTGTCCCTTTCTGGTTCCTCAATTTCTTGTTGTTTTGGTCTTAGCGAAAGCTGTGCTAGAATCTTTTTCTCTGAGTTAACTAGAGCAGAAGTAACGCTCTGTTAGAAGGCTCCTCAGCTGAGAAGCGTGACTGGTTTGTTTGGAAATAAGTTTGTGGCAGAGAAGGGTATTTTTTAACATGTCTGTTAGAACTTGGGTGAAGAAAGGTTCATTTTTCAGTAATTAATTCAACTTACTGTTTTAACACAAGCTTGAAGTGCCCACGTCAGGAAGTGTCGTTTACTGGTTTATCTGAGAAGACGTGCTGGTTCTAACTTGAATCTTGAATCTGCTGGATAAACTCTCAGAAATAAAGGGGCTGACCTGTCACTGGGGCGGTTCTCCTCTTGCCACTGGGGTGGAACCCTCAAGGCTCCATCTCAGTACCTTTAGTCAGGGAACATAACTGAACCATAATCCACTGAATGATATGTTCTAAGCTGTACTGACTCCACACACCCCGTCTCGTCTCCAGGCTTTTATTTTACTGTTCTGTTTAAAACATTCGGTTATGAAAAGGTACAAATACGAACTTTTCACCTGGAAACACTTATTTAAGGTTCACAATCAGACCTTAAAACCACTGTTGTACCTTTGTACCTGCACAGAACCTTTATTCCTGTTGATGTAGTTGTGCTTTGAGTGGAAAAGCATGACATTTTTCTCGTTACTGGAATTAGAAATGTATGTAGAGTAGATGTATGGTGCTGGTCAGTACCCTAACGGAGATAGAAACGGGTTACAGAAATGGGTTCTCTCACTTCCGTTAGCGCCTGTCAAGGTTTTACTTCAAATACCTTATTAACTCACAGTGTCTGTCTGTAAAGGCTGGGCATTAAAGGGGAAAGTAAACATGTACCAGGATGTATGCAGAGCTGCTAAGACTATTTTGTTGTAAAATGGTGCTTCCCGACTTCTTTACAGTGGTGGTGATAGGAACCAGGGGTCGCCATGACTACAATACAAATATAGACATTTTATTTACTGTCCAGAACCACCAGTGAACCTACACGAGTCTTCTGAGTTTATATGGAATGTTGATGATGGAAAATAGTGGAAAATCTGAAATAATAAGTTTTCTTTGCCTCACTCACCTAGCACCCTCCAAGTACCTTTCCGCCATGAATACGTTTTCAAAAAATCATACAGCAAAACTAGTGAGGGGCAATGTCTCGGACAACAGGCAGCATATTCATATTCATACACTGTTAGAAATAAAGGTTCTGTTCAGGTACATTTCTGTTCATCAAGGTACAAACAGTGTAAATGTTCCCTCAAAGCTCCAACAGTGGTTTTAAGGTCTGATTGTGAACTTTAAATAAGTTTTTCCAGGTGAAAAGTTCGTATTTGTACCTTTTCATAACCGAATGTTTTAAACAGAACAGTAAAATAAAAGCCTGGAGACGAGACGGGGTGTGTGGAGTCAGTACAGCTTAGAACATATCATTTCAGTGGATTATGGTTCAGTTATGTTCCCTGACTAAAGGTACTGAGATGGACCCTTGAGGGAACCGCCCCAGTGATGAGAGAGGAACTGACCCAACGACAGTTTAGTACCTTTATTCATCAAAGTGTACAATAACTTTCTGTGAGGGAGCTTTTAGAGGTGAACGTCTGGTTCCTATCACCACCACTGTGAACAGCTCTGACTTTGTTTACATCTTAACTATTTATTTATTATTATAAAAAATAGTAAAAATGAGTGGAATTCCCCTTTAGATAGGGCAGGTTCATTTTATGGGACAGCCCAAATAACTCCAATACTAGAGAGTATTGGAAAATTTCCAGGTAATTCAGTATGAAATTCTGATACTTCCATGAGCCACTTGGCTTACTTGTTCCAAAATCTGGGCTGGTGACCGGCGGCCTATATTACACTCCACATGCATGTTACTAACGGCAACTGAATAGTCAGAAAGCCATTGAATGAAGATATAGAACAACATATTGAACAAATGCCACTTGGTAATTGACTGTTGGCAGAGTTCTATGAAGGTCCCCTCTCATGTGTGGCTCTTATGCCTGTCAAACTTTTAGCTCAGGCTACCTTTACAAGATGTTCAGTACAGTCAGACCTGTTTGAGTACTGACAAGATATGAATGTAGGACAATTTAAAGCAAAAAAAAAAGGATTCAGCAAACCATCTCGTCAGTGATGTTAGAGTGGTAGCTTTTTATAAGGAGAAGTTTTAGTGATGAAAGCTCGACCTTCAGATGAGCTAATGCATTAATATTAACCTCTACATAATGCTGTAAACACAGATGTCAGAATGTAGTCTTTTTATTCTCACTGGTTCATCAACTGTGCAGCAAAGTTAAGAAAAGATAATTAACTAAGCTTAACATTTTTCTAAAACGTTATTGTTAGATATTATACATCATATCAAAGTGATTTTTTGCAAATACAGTAACACAGATATAGTGTAGTTTACCTTAGAGCGCCTCATTTGGTGCAGACCCTCACAAAAATGCGTTCCCACTAGTAGCGAACTGAACCGGGGTACTTTAGAAGCAGTCCGAGACCCTCCGGACCACCATTTATTAGCTTGGTGTGCCCCCAAATACAGGTTGAGAGTTCACACCTGTCAAAACGGACTGAACTACAGAAAGTGTTCGCACCAAACAGGGCAGTTTAAAGTTCAAAGTTCGGCTTATTTGGACCACTGTATAGATGTTACATTTTTTTGCAGATATTCATGGATTATTGCTTTTATAAAACAGTGTCCAACATAAAATATAATAAAGTACAGGGTGTTTCAAAAAGATTCATCCGATTTCAAAGCACCATATTTTTTCCAACCGTGAGGTGAACCAATCACAATCCAATTGAAAGAGGGGGGTCGGGGGCTCCCGAATGGCGCAACCGTGTTGGCCCTATCATCAGTCCAAGAGAGCACAATTGGCCTCGCTCTGTGGGTGGGTAGGATGGCCCCCCTGTCTCCCCCATCACCCACCATGATGCTAGTCAGTGCAGGCATCTGTTAGCTGACGTAACAGATCTGGCGGATGGCGCTTTCCTCCAAGCGCGTTCAGCTGTTGCTGGTTGCTGGATGCTGGCTTCACAGGTCTCAGAGGAAGCCTGTGCTTCAGCCTCCTAGCGTTGATAGTATCCTGTGATTGGGGGAGTCCTAACTAGTGGGTGGAATTGCAGACGACTAAATTGGAGAGAAAATCGGGGAAAAATTCTAAAAGGGGTCATAGAGTTTCTGACTGTCAGTGGAAGACGGCTCCCTTCAGTCTGCGAGGTGATGCGACCCCTGAGCAGAAAGCGTTCTGCGTTCTCCACTTCAATAAGAGTGAATCAGTCATAACTGTGCAGCGCGATTTTCGTGGGCAGTGAAGCTCCAACAGCTCGGAGTGTTTGTCGTTGGTTCCACAACACTGGATGATCTCCGAAATCGCACTGAAAGAGCCGTGAGTGCAGCGACACCCGACACGCTCAATCCAGTATGGGATGAATCTGACTATGGCGCTGATGTTGTCTGTACAGCTGGAGGAGGTTCAGACTGAGACCTTGTAACATTACATAATAAACTTTATGCTCATTTAAACCATTTACACTCTACTGCATTGATCTGTAATGATTTACAAGAGAAATAAATCATTTTGAAATCGGATGAATCTTTTTGAATCAACTTTTGAGAAAATAAGTTGTTAGTAGTGATGTACATAAACATGTATTTCTCCATGAAATGTAGTTCCCTTAGAGTATGGTATTGTTGCTAAGCAGTCATCGACTGTATGAGGAGAATGTTCGGTCACCCGTCGCTGTATATTGCAATCACTTCACTTCATATCACTACACTGTTTAATGCAGAAACCTTTGCCTTGTAAGAACCTTTTGGTCACTAAATCACCACCGTGAGTCTTATTTAGCACCAATCCAGTGGCACCCTCTTCTCACCCTGGGGCTGGATCTCACACAGCTCCCTGCTCCCTACATAGTGCACTATGTAGGAGTTTAAATACTGGATCCTGCAGCCCAACAGAGCAAAATACAGCTATGAAAGTCATTTGGGACACATCCACACTGGATAAATGATGCACTGTTTGGCTGTAAAGGCTAGAATTTCTAAACTTTCATATCTAGAACACTATTTAGGGGGGAGCACAGAGCCGTTTGGGATTCAGTCTTGGTTTGATGCTCCTTCTGACTGAAACACGAACATTTGAAGAGTGTGAGACATTCAGGTGACGTTCTTTAGACTTTTATACTGCAGTTTTACAGAGAATCACACAGTCAGTGCTTTAATTCAAGCTTGTGATATTAATGATGGAGCCATTTAGGCTGTTGGCTCTTTTAGCCTGTTAGCTAGCTGACCAGCGTAGTTCTGGGTAGGAACGTAGGTTGTCACCCCCTCAGTTTAAACAAGAAACAGGTTCTTACTGCATCAGTACACTCCATGTGAGCAGCGTGAGAGTCAAAGATTATTCCATTAACAGCAGAAGGGTTTTTAATGCTGTGGTGCAGTGATACAGAGTTCAGTGGTTGTGAGGCGGTCATAGCCGTGATGTATTGTGGATTTTAGCATGGCTTCGAACGCGGCCTTTATAGTTTTGATGTCTTCAATATTAATCTAAAATCTTCTGAGACCTGCATATATATAGATATTATGTTACCTGTGTACCCACATCTCTTTAGTTCCTCTCCACATCTCCTTGTTATTTTTTATTCTATTGTTGTATTTTATTGTATTTGTCTCTTTTAATGCCGGTTTTGAGTCTGTGTGCTTGTCTGGTCTGTTCAGTCTGTTCATGTCATACATGTGTGACTCACCAAGCCCGATTCCTCACATGTGTAACGTACTTGGCAAAACAAGGTGATTTTGAAAACGTTGTTGAACGATGATCAGCCCTGACCTTATCAAATCTCCACAGTACTACAATCTTGGAATGTCTGCTGTTACAGAGAACGTGATGGTCATCATCTCCAAACCTCTCAGATTTTAATTGCGCGTAGGAGCTTTTAGCAGCTCATTCAGAAGCTAATAATCCTAATAATCCTTCATAAGCGCAGCTTTTAATCAGAGTTCTGTGCTCACTCATGTGCTCCGTTCTTCACAGGTTCAGATCTGGCCTTCCCTGCCTCAGTGCAGGATGACGTCATCTGCAGCAAAACCTTTCAGATCCTCTACAAGAATGAAGAGATAGTCGTCAACGATGTCCTCATATTTAAGGTGAAGATGCTGCTGGATGAGAAGAAGGTGAGAGTTTCTTCCTCTTTCTGTCAGATTGTGCACTTACTGGCTCTGTTTGCATCCATTTTCTGAGCAAGCGGTACAGATGAAATGTAAAAAAATATGAATTTTGATTTTGTAACCCTCACTTTTAGCTGTTAAATGCTTTACGTAATGACAATTTCTTGAAAAAAAAAAGTTTTGGTTTATGGAAGTAATTGTGTTTGACATGTTTCCATCTCTAATTTCATGTATGTCATAACTTTTGGTGTTTTGGCTCCCCTGATGTTCACATAACTTCTAAGGACTTTTAATTTAGCTTGGTTTAGTTTATTGTATTCTCCCTGGAACCGTTACATGAGAGATGTGCAAAACAAACAAAAAAAGAAAGTGACAATCTTAAATCTAATCAATATATCTAATATTTCTAGTTATCTCTTGTTCATACCCATCTGTCTTTACTGGGCTGTGTAAAGACAACCTAGAGTAGTCCATTATTACCTGACAGTGTTTTTGGGAGGAGGATGCAGCTGCATTGAAGTACAATCATAAATAGCAGCTTCCTTTAAAATACAGTACAGTGGGGTCCAAACCTCTAAGACCACTTTGAAAATCTAGGATTGTTTTCATTTAAAGTGCACTAGCCTTTATTACAGGAAACTCTAAAGCTCTGCTCACTGGTGTCACTCTAACAACCTCCACTCAGCCTAACACTGCTTTGTTAGATCTTAGTTTGTTCTTATTTGATTTTGGTATGTTGTGTTTTTTTTTTTCATCATCTACGGTACATAATATCATTAAAAGATTCAGAGAATCTGGAGAAATCTCTGTATGTAAGGGACAAGGCCAAAAACCAGTATCTGCTGGCCGTGATCTTTGGGCCCTCAGGTGGTACTGCATTAAAAACAGACATGATTCTGTAGAGGAAATCACTGCATGGGCTCAGAAACACTTCTGAAAACCACTGTCTGTGAAAACAGTTCATCACTGCATCCATAAATGCAAGTTAAAACTCCAAAACACAAAGAAGAAACCAAATATAAACAGGATCCAGAAACGCTGCCACCTTCTCTGGGCCTGAGCTCATTTAAAATGGACTGAGGGGAAGTGGAAAAGTGTCCTGTGGTCCGACGAATCAACATTTGAAATTCTTTTTGGAAATCATGGACACTGTGTCCTCTGGGCTAAAGACCACTCAGCTTGTTATCAGTGCACAGTTCAAAAGCCAGTATTCATGATGGTGTAGGGGGCATTAGTGCACATGGCATGGGTGACGTGCACATCTGTGAAGGCACCATTAATGCTGAACGATTAATACATGTTTTGGTAACATATGCTGCCATCCAGACGACGTCTTTTTATTTATTTATTTATTTATTTATTTATTTATTATTGAGCTGGGATAGGCTCCGGCACCCCACCGCAACCCAGAAGGATAAGTGGTTTAGATCGTGTGTGTGTGTGTGTGTGTGTGTGTGTGTGTATTTATAATTGTATTTTTAAAAAGTATGTCTTATTGATTATTATTATTTTAATCCCTTTTAAATTTGGTAATTCGTCTTACCAGTGTACATTTTGTATTTTTCTCTTTTTTTTTTATAGTTTGATTTGTTCCTGTGGTTTACCAAAATTTTCTTCAGTGTGTGTGTTACTCTTTTCAGTCCCTGTTTAGTGTTCTAGTGCTTGGCTACATTGCAAATGAGAGTCATCCTCAATGTACTCATGGTTTTAATACATTATTGATTGATCGATTGATTGATAATCCTGCAAATAAACAGCAGAACAATTTCAAATTTTGAAAACATTTTAGCAGTGTGATAGACTGGCGACCTGTCCAGGTTGTTTCCTGCCTTCTGCCCAATGACTGCTGGTATAGGCTCCAGCACCCCCACAACCTAGAAGGAAAAAGCGGCTTAGAAAATGTGTGTGTGAGAAAAAAAATTACAGTAAAAGTCTTGATTAAAATGTAGAAGAAATTTTCGTGATTCTGCACTACTTTTAGGTCACTATTCAAATTTCAGCAAATTTGTGACGCTGCCCATTTTTAGGTTTTTGCACAAAAAGGTCAGATTTTTTAATTTTTTTTTTGGGTCTTCTTCCAGTGAAGCTCATGTTTAGACAACTCTCAGGTGGATTTGCTCAGATTGCTGTGCTGATAATATAATTTCTAATAGAAAGACGTCGTATTAAAGTAGAGAAGCGTGTGAAATAGAAGCACGTTCACTAGAGCTCTCAGACTTTGGGCCCTGCTGTGTATGTATTTATTTCGCAACAGCGCGTACAGTATGTGTAATTTCTATCATACAGTGCCCTCAGTTCATGGGGACCCTTGGTGGCTGTCACAGTTGCCTAGTGCAAAAAAGTGTCCCTGTCCATTTCAAACAGCTAATGAAGATCTGTCAGAAAACTTTGTTCTTCCAGTCACTACTTTGTGATGTTCCTCTCCAGGTGGAAGAGTCCCTGAACGAGATGGACTTCCAGCTGTCTCTGGACCTTTACTTCACAGATGGCGACTACACGTACGTCCTCTGTTGACTGGAAATATAACAGAGATCACTCTGACCTCTTACACAAGGACACTTAAGCAAACATAGACGGCACTTTTGTCATATGCTTGGGTGACCCTCCACCACGTGTTATGAGAACAATTTGACATAAAAAATATTCAATTCACTTTTCTTGCATAAAATGGTCCTTGATTTATTTTTTGGACCTCAATATTCAGAATCATAAAAAAAATGTTTGCAAGGGTCCTTATGGAATATGTTGCCTTGAGGAAACATTGTGTGACAATGAGAAGAAATAATATAAAGCCGTGTTCCCTGAAGTGGTGAGACCTGGTTTGTGACTGGCTAAATCCATTCCACTGTTGCACAATGTTGCTTCTAGGCAACAAACATATTACTGCAAATTCTCGCAACAAAAAAAATTGATACTGAATGTTAAAGAGGTTAAAAGAGTGCACTAAGATATAGTATTTTTATGGACTTACTCAAACTCTTCCCTTAATTGTTAACCCTGTTGTTGTCTTTAAATATGTACAGTCCCATTTCCAGAAAAGTTGGGACGCTGTGCAAAATGTAAATAAAAACAAAATGCAATGATGTGCAAATTATTTAAACCCTATATTTAATTGAAAATTGTACAAAGACAACAAATCACATGTTGAAATTGAGAAATTTTATTGTTTTTTGAAAACTATTTGCCCATTTTGAATTTGATGGCAATAACACGTTCCAAAAAAGTTGGGACGGGGGGCAACAAAAGGTTGATAAAGTGTTGTAATGCTAAAAGTTAATTGGAAACAGGTCAGTAACATGATTGGGTGTAAAAAGATCATCTCAGAGAGTCTTTCAGAAGTAAAGATGAGGAGGGGTTCACCACTCTGTGAAAGACTGCACGATCAAATAGTGCAACAATTCAGGAATAACGTTTCTGAACATAAAATAGCAAAGAACTTCTGCTTTTCATCATATAAGGCACCATTAATGCTGAATGATATATACATGTTTTGGCAACGTATGCTGCCATCCAGACGACGTCTTTTTCAGGGAAGGCCTTGATTATTTCAGCAAGACAATGTAAAACCACATTCTGCATGTATTACAGCAGCATTGCACCGTATTAAAAGAGTCCAGGTGCTAAACTGGTACATTATGAAATGAAAAATAGGACAAATGAGCCCCTGAACTGATGAGCAGCTGAAATCCTGTATCAAACAAGGATGAGAAAACATTTCACTTTCAGAACTACAGCAGTGTCTCCTCAGTTCCCAAACGCTTACAGAGTGCTGTTATAAGAAGAGGTGATGAGACACAGTGGTAAACAGGCCCCCGTCCCAAAAACAATACAAATATCTCAGTTTCAACATTTGAAATGTCTTTGTAGTATTTTCAATTAAATTAGGGTTTAAATGATTTGCACATCATTGTATTTTGTTTTTATTTACATTTTGCACAGCGTCTCAACTTTTTTGGAAATGGGGTTGTATAATGTTATTGTAAGGTGAGGAAAATTTGCTGCCCTGAGGCAACATTGTGTAAGAGAGGGTTAAAGCATGCTCTTGAGTAGCAGCTGAAGGTGGAAAGAAAGCTTCAGCATGTTGACACGTCCTTTCTCCTTTTTGAAAGGCAGTTTTGTCATTAATTAGATATTGGCCTGAACTAGCTGTGTCCATGTGTGTTCCCTTAGGCCAGAGGACTCCAGCTCTCTGCAGAGCATCAGCAGCCGGACCTTGCGCTTGCACTTTAGCCTCCACAGAGGCATCCACCAGCACGTCAACGTCATGTTTGACTACTTCCACCTGTCTGTGATATCTGTCACCATCCACGCCTCTCTCGTGGCCCTGCATCAGCCCCTCATCAGGTCAGGGAAGGGTCAGGCGCTCTGTTTAGCACAGCCAGCATTTTATATCTTTCACCTAATGTTTTCTTTTTGCTATCAAGTAAACTGCTCTGCCATTATTTTGATAGTAAATCAATGTGTTGTTTTGCTAAGTCATTATTTTGAGAAACTCAAGCTGCTTTCTGAGAACATGTTTATATTTTTCACCTCAAAAGCATGAAACATCTCAAAATAATGACTTCGAATTAATGAGAGTATTTAAGAAGAACGACGTAGCATCTTCAAATAATGACTTAGAATCGCAAAATAATGGTATCGCAGTTCACTTAATAATGAAATATTAATTAGCTGCTGGATTTTTTTGTAATTCTAAGTGATGGGATTGGACTTTGATGAGAAAGTGCTGTATTCTATCCTGTTTCTGACAGTGAAATACTTGGATGTTCTATCTGAGGCCTGAATACAATGCACAATTACCATTTATTTATTATATTTCATGTTTTTTTTTATGACTATGTTAAAAATAAATAGAAATTGTGTATTAAACTTGCATATTAAGTTCTCTGTAGACCATATGTGTCATTCTCCAGTCCTCATGGGCCATAACACTGCAGACTTCAGCACAGTGCTTCATTAAACACACCTGATCCAGCTCATCAGCTAATTATCAAGGCCATGAACTGAATTCAGAGTGTTAGATGAGGGTACACGCTGATCTCCACAGCACTTTGGCCTGAAAGGTCCCCAGTTTGACACACCTGCTGTAGAGGATAACTTGTTTTTTTATTTAAATTAACTAAACATAACATAATTTGTCCAGGGAAGTTTAAACCTTTACATACAACAGTGAATCTCAAGACAACTCACAAGAAGTAGATGGAGCAAAATCACTAATTCTTACAGGTTTTTAAGGTTTCATGCTTTTAGAGGCTGTTGTAATCGAATATTATTGAAATTGTGTCACAGGTTTCAGTCAATTTTCAGATAGATTGTGTCCTGGTATCTTGTGGAATTCAGCGCTAACACTGCTGTGTTTAATAAATAATGCAGTTAGGTAAAAAAATATTTACCCACACAGACATTACAGTGACTTGTATCTGTTCTGAGAGAGTGTAATGAGGTCACTTGGTGCCTGGCAGCGCTGGCGTCTGTTCTCATGACCTTCACAGTTCGTGTTGACCTTCTGTGTTTGTTCTGCAGTTTCCCCCGGCTGGTTAAAAGCACCTGGCTAAACCGCAACGCACCAGCACAGAGCAAAGACTCCCTCATCCCTGCTCTGGAAACTGTGGTGTTTGGCAGCAGCTATGTCAAGCAGATTTCCCCAGATGTAAGCATGCGTACACACACACACACACACACACACACACACACACAAAAAGATGGAACCAAAGCACTGTCTTCAGATGCCTGATCAATAGAAGAGAGGAAACTGTTTGCTTTCTCTGGTGTTATCTTACATAAACACACAAGAGACGAGAAGTTACTGAAGGTTGAGACTTAAAATTCTCAGATGTCTTTACAGTGGTGGTGATAGGAACCAGGGGTCGCCATGACTACAACACAGATATAGACATTTTATTTACTATCCAGAACCACCAGTGAACCTACACGAGTCTTCTGAGCTTATATGGAATGTTGATGATGGAAAATAGTGGAAAATCTGAAATAATAAGTTTTCTTTGGGGACTATTTTGCCTCACAGCGCCCTGCATGTATCCCTCCACCATGAATGGAGTTTAAGTTCTCTAAACTATCATAAAACAGTGTCTCAGTCATCAGGCAGTGAATTCATAACCATTTCATGTAGGAACTTTCTGTGAGGAGCTTTTAGAGGTGGACGTCTGGTTCCTATCACCACCACTGTGAACAGTTCTGACTCGGCAAGTTTCTCTAGAACGGAGAACCACTCTGAACCACTCTGTTTACATCTTAACCTTGTAATTATGCAGAAATCCTGAAAAATGCATGGCTTTTCCCCTTAAGGTTGTTGTCTGTCAGAACTTAGAGCTGCTCTGTGCTTTGCCTGAGACAGTTGGCAGTATTCATTTACTGCCCTCATTCAATTAGGGAAGCTGATTCTGATTGTGACACAACGCTGAAGTGGCACTGTCAGTCTTGTGCAACTGATTATAACGGTAATACTGGAGACTTCAGAAACACTTTAGACCCTTAGACACAGTTGTGCAGCAAGCATGTGAAGGAGATGATGCAGTCGTATGCACAAACGTTTTGTTGGTTTTCTAAATTAAAATAAGAAAACATCCTTTACAGAGAACAAATGTATTGCACAATTACCGTTTATTCGCTAAATTATTATATTGGAGGGAGGAATAACATAAAATATGAAATTGTACAAAAGTACGAATGCCTTGATTTCATGTTTTATATTTAAATGTTAAACTCAGCAAATAAACTGAAATTGTGCTCTAAAATGAGCAGATGAAATTGTGTTTACTGTAGAGGATATTTTAAACCATTTTGACTTTAAAAATGAACCAAACATTGAAGTTAATTTGACCTGCGGTGTTCAAACTCTGCATATGACTGTACATGATATGGTTAGCTCCTCTTTTCTTTCAGCACTGGGGCCCTCTTTAGCTTTTATTCACCTCACCATGACATTTAACTGCTGTGTGTTTATGCATTCTTTTCTCCGGCAGTGTTTTCAGGCCAGCTGACTCACCTCAGCAGTTCTGAATCACCTCACATAGCATCAGAAAAATAAAGAGGGGAAAAACAGATGTAGAAAGCCTTTCACAGTCTGGATAAACATGTGACTTTCCTTATCTTCCAGTATTGTTTTTAACCTGCCCTCTCAAGGCAGGTTTGCTGGATAAGCAAATTTTGTGATGGTAGAATTTTTAGAAGTTCCTGTGTAGCGAAAAGTTGAAGCTTTAAGCTTGAACTTGCACATCACTGCTGTTGGTACAAAACCTTGTATGTCCAAAATGGTAACTTTACAGGAGAGGGAAAAAACATACTTTACTTTTACTGTAACGCAGTGGAACCAGAATTTTTTCCAAGTCATTTCGGACCGTTTCTTTTAGTCCATTCATCGGGAAATTTACACACAATGTAAAGGACAACAGGCATTTTATTATTATGTCAAAAACTGAAAAACGATATGGAGATACGAGGTTTTGTTCTGACAGCAACGAAATACAGATGTTTGCACATGTGCAGCGTTCATAAGACAGAGCCTACATAAAAAGTTGGCGCTCGCCTGCGCCTAACGTGCTGTGTGTAGTGTCCAACTGCCGACCCGCAGTACCACACTTTCAGACCTGCACTATCAGCTCCTTACAAGTGCGCCTCTAGTGGTTCATTTCAGAATTGCAGTCACACTTTCCTGTCCTTACGAGAGAATTTTAACATGACATTTTTGTTTTTTTAGCAGCAAAGTGTCTACAGTACGTGGTAATGCTGCTTTCTAGCGCAAGTGAGGCGACAGTTTTGTACGTGGAGGAGCTTGTTAACCTGTCGTGCGCATTTTTGTGACAGATAAAGAGGAAACTGAGGTTGTGAAATGGGTGTTCATTAGCTTGCTGGAATATGTCAGTATTGGCCTATTTTACTGGTGTTTTGAACCCATACACTCTTAAAAAGGATGGATGAAGGTTCTTCAAGGGTTCTTTGGTAATGGAATGGTTCTGTTGAGAACTTAGTTGTACATAGAATATTTAGGTATTGTTTACATTCTGAATGCTGTTAAGAATCATTTAGTGTGTTTACATGCACTCAGTAATCCAAACATAATCAGATTTCTGCAGTTATTCGATTATTCAAATGGTCATGTAAACACCATACACCGATCTAGAAATCTGATTAAGAAATCTGATAAAGAGCTCAGTAATCAGATTTCTCAGTGCAGTAAACTCTTACTCTGATTTCTTTTGGATTTCTCAGTCTGAGCATTTGTGAAAACAGACTGCGCTACCGGAAATGAGCGAGCAGTGTCGCCGCGAGACGCAGCAAAACACATTTGGAGCAATGCTGAAACCAAATACATGCTTGACGAAATGAAGGATTTGAATATTCTTTATCTTCTAGATGATGTATGTTCATATTTTAAGGTAAAGTGACTCAATGTTTAAAAAAAAGCTGCAGCCCGAAGTTTTAGTTTTACGTTACGTTTACGTCACGTCTTCTTCTGTGAGTTTATTGGCTGGTTGTAAAGCAGAAATCTGAATACTCTCTGACTCATGTAGACCTGGAGTTTCCCCTTTATCTGATTACTCAAGAGCATGTAAATGTGTTTATCGGATTACTGACAAAATCTGATTTTTTGCAGTTATCAGATTAAGTGCATGTAAACACACTGTGTGAACTGCTGTATCTTTGTCAGTCATATCTAATAGAGCTGATATGCAGACCTCTGCTTGGCCATTTGAGCTACTAAACTTGTACTTAACTCTGAATTAAATACAGTAAAGTTGCTAGGCTAAACGCTGAGACGTAACTGTAGTACAGCTGTCTTTACAGTCAACTTTTAACGTTGCAAAGTGCATATAGTTTTTGAAAAACTACTTTTCTGGTCAAAAATTTGAGGTTTAGCCCTGCCATTCTTTTTTTGTTTATGCTAGATGTATAGCTCTTAGCATACTAACTAGCAATCTAGCAGGGTAAGTAAGTCAGCTGACGTGTAACAACAGATGGAGTACATTGCAAAAAGAGGAACAGGGCAGAAGTTGATTTGAAGTGTTTTTTTGAGGTTTAAATTGGCGTAAAATACTGCTTTTGTTCATGTAGCCTGTTTATTGGAGCTAAATAAAACCAGCTCAATTGCTTGTTACCACATGAAGTAATTTAGCTCGAACTGAAGCTGTTTTCACAGAGTAGTTTTGCCTCAAACAGCCATTTAAACGAAGCAAATCGAATGTTATAGCTTTGGAATATTAATTACTTTCCTCTGGCGTATAAGCAGTACTTTTTATGGGAGTTAGAATAGGAAATTGCTTCTGACCGCAATGATTTCTGGGCACATTCGGCTGCTGTTGACTCTGTCTTACCCCTCTAAGGGGTCATCCAACAAACTGAAAACAGAAATCCACTCAGATTTTCTGCACAGGTAAATCATTAAGACGTGAACGCAGTTGTTTAAAGCAGTTTGATGTGAAGTTCCAGTCTTACTGAGTCAGAATTCTTTATAATAGTACTGATGAGAACCAGATGTCTCAGAAAGCTTGTTGCAAATGTGTTGTCTGATGACTGAGTTGATATCTGTATATTTTTTTAATGATTGAGAGGCGCCACCACTGTAAATCTGAGTTTCTACAGTGAATCATTTCACACCAAACCACTCTAAGTCACTCTGTGTACATCTCAACATCTGAATTATGCAGGTATTTGGTTAAATTAGTGGAAATTCCCATTCAAAGTTTTACTTTAGTAATGGGTTCTAAAGGTGGCATTGGGGATTCCCCTAAGTGGATATGGTAAGAACTTGATGAGAACATGTAAAAACAGTACTGAAACGAAGGGTTGGGTCATGACCGCGTTACTTCCTCATCTGTACAAAAGGTTGTGTTCCAAAATGCATTAAACACAGCTTTTATTAGTTTTTATTATTTTTCTTCTTTTTCTTATGATACACCGTGTTGTTAGTGGGCTTTACACATATTTACAAATATCAACTCTGACTGTTAGAGCTCGTCTAGTCACTGCTGGTTCAGCTCCAGCCCTGCAGGTGGATGAAGACCAAGGAGAACAGACCAGAATAACCACCAAAAAATGGAAAACTAATAAACATGCCAGCCAAAAATCACAAAAACACAATTAAGCTGGAGTTGGTCTTATTCACCAGCTTCTTATTCTAATTTTTCGCTCCACCTTAAATGGTGCAGCAGTTACATTTATATGGAACGAATTTTGAAAATGAAGCCAACGTCAAACATGCACACATCCAGTTTACCCCAATAAACACATGCTTAATCAGAAAATACCTCAAACTTCCTCTTGGAGGTGTTTAATGAGCAGCACAGCACTGGCTGATCTAGCGCCACGTCCCAAACCACACACTTCTGTACTTCACCTACTCCACTAATGAGTGCACTTCTAATGGGTTATGCACTATTTTTACACTCTATTTAGGGAGCTAGTATGCAGGTTAGATGCTAGTCACACAGTGGGAAATCTCAGGCTTTTAGATTTCAGCTTTCATTTGTCATCACTACAGCAACAGATCAAATAAAATAAAATCAACACACTCAAAAGTAAGGACTAATATGCGTTTTAAAGTGAGTGTTTCCAAGAAAAGATGTTTTACTGTCTTTGCTGAATCAGTGATGGCAGTTATCTCATGACAAACCGCAGTGATGGAAGTGCGATTGGAATACCATAAATATTGCGATTGATAAAACCTTTATTACAGAAGGTAGACTGTGTTTTGACAGTGTGCATTATAAATCACCTGCTACACTATCAAATCTCTTTTTGTTACAAAAAGGTTGTACAGCAGTTTAGAATGAAGCTCTTCATATCGTCTCATGATTTTAAAACATAAGTTACAATTTTAAGTTTTTTTTAACTGACTTTTCATTCAACATACCTGGAATATAATAGATAAAATAATGCTGATCTCATTACATTTGTTTTAACTTAAATTCTTTTCATGTCCTAAACATTGTTGTAAGCTATTCCCCTTCAGAAGGAGAAAAACCTAAGAGTTCTGGCATTGCCTGTAGTAATGGTGTCCATCTTTTTAAAGCCTCGGGTTCACTACACGACTTTTAAAGTCTGAACAGTGTGCGTATTTTTTGGGGGGACTGAAATATTGGGGATCCACACTAAGCGATTAGGAATTACACACTACCTCACTAAACTCACTAAACTCACACGAACTCTTGCGTTCTCCTGTTACTAGTAGCTGCAAATAAACAAACGTGGAGCTGCAGCTGCTGGTTTCTCTGCTGTTTGCGCTGAAACAGTGAAGAAGCAGCAGGTAAACATGTTTAAGTGAGGATCAGTGATTTAAAAATGTGATCAGTTGGTATTTTTAGAGTTTTAAGTCTACATAAACTCAATTGTGCCTTAAACTCAGCTCATTAAAAAGCTTCGCTCCACTCGTGAGAGACTTTTCACCATTTTTCTTTGCTTACTTGCTGTATTTTCTTCTTTCGCGCTCTCAGTTCTCATTGGCTGTCGGAGGAGTTGTTCAGTTTGAGTTGTTGATCAGTTTACACTAGATTACACTCGGAATCGGGTTAAAAATTCAATCATGTTTGATAAACACTGACTGGTCTGAAATGCGGTAAATCTGAGTCTGTGCCGCTCACACACGACTCTCTCTCCAGACTCCGACTGACCCAAAAATCTGCAGACTAGAGCCGACCAGCTCAAAATTCGGATAAAAGTCGTCTAGTGTGACCCCGGCTTAAAAAACTGTCTGTTCTCAGCTGTAATCTTGCTGTGAATTTCTCCATAATAGGAGTTAAATGTTTTAAACACAGTGACACAATTAACACAGAACGGCCACAGACAGTAAATACAGACAAACTGTACAAACACTGTACAGTAAATTCTTATCTAAATATGCCATAACTACAAGTCTACAACCACTGAGCACAGGAAAGAGAACGTAGACCAGGTGTTGGTCCATGCAGCAGTAACAGTGCGGTGCATATTGTTTATCAATGCACTGATTATTAACAGTAGTTGAAGCTGTGACTGATGCCTTCTGCACTTCTCCCAGGGAAAGACCTTCCTGGTGTCAGACCAGTGTCTGCAGCACGCCTTCACCTTGCACCACAGCCTGTGTGCCAGCCTGCTGTTGGCCTATCGGGGCCTCTTCGAGTACTTCATGAATCTCACCAAGAGCCTCCCGTCTTCTCACCGCATGGAGCTTGGTACGTCCCTCAGCGCCGGACAGCTCAGGGCACCATCTTTCAGTATCTTGATTGATATCAATACTAGCTTTAAATTCTGAACTACACACTTAAAGGTGCTTCTTCAAGGGTTCTTTAGTAAAGAAAGTGATTCTGTATAGAACCATGAACACTCAAAGAACCCTTTGCATGATTATAGGGTTTATTACATCATGAAAGGGTTCTTCAGATTGATGGAGAGTGCTGTTACGTAGAACCTTTTTAAAAAGAAAAAGGGCTTTTCTGTTGTTAAAGCTTGATGTTGTCATAATAGAAGAATCCTTTTCAAAAAGGTTCTATATAGAACAACTTACAGCACATTCTCTAGATAGATAGATAGATAGATAGATAGATAGATAGCCCTAACTTTATTGATCTTTATTGATCCCGAAGGAAATTCAGCAGTCAGTATGAGTCACACAACACAGTACAGTTGAGTAAGAGTGATACAATATAAAAAGAATATATACAAAAAAACAATCTACAGGCATATATACAACTAGAAATATACAAAAATATTCAATAAAATCTATTCTGAGATAAAAAGGCAGTGCAGTAATGAATGTACAAGGAGGCTCGGGTAACAGCATATAATAACAATAATGATTAAATATGTGCAGATATTGGTACTGAAATAAAGTGTCTGGCAAAGAATCCTTTAATCAGTTCTTTGGTTCTACATAGAATTATTTTCTAAAGAGCCCCTGAAGAACCGATTTTAACTTTTTTTAAAGATAAATTGTGTAGCAGTTATACGTTTTCGCCGTGCTGTTGTACAACATTGTTGTTTTTTGTTGAAAATAATATTTAATCTGTGCTGTAGAAATCCCGCTTTGTAGGCTGAAGTAGAGATATTCACCTGTGTATGTCTTTCTCACTTCTTGCCTGCTTCCCTAAAGTGTTTACAGCCATGATTAACACTTACAAGAGCCAGTCTGCTAAAGCTGAGCAGGCTTTGGTGTCTCGCCTGCAATCAACTAGCACTAGCCTGCAAATTAGCAACTGTTAGCTGTCGGACCTGAAATTAGCCTCTAACACTAACCCAGTGTCATCTACCACCAGGACAGCTTCTTTAGCTTTAAAGGAATGGTTTAACAGGAAGCTGAACGTTTACAATTTTGCACTGTACAAATTGTGCTTCTTTAGTTTAACGTTGAAGCTAGAAGGCTAATGTTGTGTACAAACACTAGAAGTCAATAGACCCTTTTCACATTTTCGCATTTTCTCTGCTGGATGTAGTCGTTGCAGGGTGACATTGCTTCCACGAAAGCAATGACAATAACAACAATGATGAGCGTGTAAAGGTCACTCAGGTGTTCGAGCCTGAAGCAAAAACAGCCTCATCTCCGTTTCAGTGGTTCGTCAGCTGATGATGAGCAGAGGAGAAATGGGTTTGTGTAACTTAAAGGAATAAACTGTCATACGGAGTTAAAGACCCTCTGTGTCTGTGTTTCAGCGCTGCTGACCAACGTTAACGTGCAGGTCGTGGTGTAAAGTTGCTGCTTCAGCCGCTTTCAGAGGAACAGTTTTCATTTCCTCCCTCTAAAGCTGTCGGTATCTGAGAGAACGAGAGCTCAGCCGGGAGCAGGTGTTCGTTCACTGGAGCTGGTCTTTGTGTAAAACGTCTACGGTGGCGCTACGGACCTTGACGACCCAGTGCGCCCCCTGCTGGTGTGTGTCTTTAGTTATTTTGCCAGCTAGTTTATTGCTGGTGAGCTGTTTAAACATGGCTAATCTGACGTTTTGGTTATAGTTATTTTATCCACCATTGATTATCTCTCTTTAGACGTTAGCTGGCGTTACTGTGCTCTGATAGCTGTGAAGGAATTTTTCCACAAAGCATTTATATCCCTGATTTAGTCTGGACTCCCACATTGTTGTGTATTTGGTTCTCCAACCGTTCTGGACTCAAATTCCAATCTTGGCAGCTATGACAGAGATAAAGTGACTCACGTTTCTGTGGTGAACTGAAGTGATATGAACGCTTGTATTTCAGAAGTTAACTGTATGTAGGACAATAGAGGAACTTGTTTTACCCAGCGTTTACACACTTCTGTTTCTTGTGAAAAGGGTCTATAGTCACCCAAATCTTTTCTGTAAATACATCCAGAGAACTTCTCTAAAACTCTGCAAACCTCATCCAGCTCTTCATTAAGGTCGCTTAGACTTCTTGATGTTTATTGACGTCTAGTGTTTGTTAGCAGCGTTAGCCCAGTGCTAAACAAAAAAAAACAAAGATTGGACATTAAACACGTCTCTGCTAATCCAGTGCATATATTCCTTTAGAACATAGGTCGGCAACAAGCAGTTCAGCTCTTTTGCTGCCCTGTTGTGGCTCCAAAACAGAATTAGATTTTGTAGGTAAAAATAAAATAATCCTCCTTTACAGTAAAATAAAGCTCTGCTGATCGTTCAACACAGTTTAACAATAAATGGTCTTAAACTTTGGAGTTAATGTAGAACTGCTAATTCACCCTTTAACCCTGAAGATCAGCGCAGACTGCTGGTCACCATAGCAACACAGACAACAGTCTCGCCTAGCTAGTAGCTAACGAAACGGCAAAGAGAGAGATTTAAGACGAACATCGATAATTTGGAGACGAATGGACTTATTTGTGTTTATAATCACTCCAGCTGGTTTCCTGATATGTTTAATCTGCAGTGAAAAACTGAGAAACAAACACTAAAACATCACAAGGCTGAAGCTGGTTTCCCGTTCTACCTTAAATGGTGCTGCGGTTTTGGTGCCTTCAGTGGCATTTAAGGTGGAATGGGAAAATTCCAACAAGAAGCTGGCGAATGACAAACGACTTCAGCCTCGTAAAAAGTCGAACATTGAGAGACATTTTTACAAGAAAGTGTTCTACTTTTGAGGAAAAGTTTCCTGCTGGAGATGTGAGAAAAGCGGCTATAGCAGAGCTAAAGATTAAAGCAGAGCAGAGTAAGTCTGCGTTTTCGTTTATTTTATATTTTTTATCCTTATACTAGAACATCAGCACCTACTGAGACATATTTACAGACAAGATGGTAAAATGGACATATAATATTGTGGCTCCCAAGGTGGTCTGATTTTTGTTGAAGGACAAAATGGCTCTTCTTAACATTTGGGTTGAAACCTCTGTTTTAGACCGAAGCATAGGCCTGTCGTCTGTCTTTCTGCATGCCGCCCCTCAGTCTTCCTGTTTGTGTTTTACCATTCGGGTCTGTGTTTTTTCTGTTTATTAATGTATTTGCTTTAGTTTTGCTTTGCCCGCACAAGCTGCTCTCTAGAGCCTTCCATCTAGAACACTTCCCTGTGCTAGACTCTCACTTAAAGGCACTAACAGACCTCCCCCTAGCGCTGCTGGTCTCATGTATGTTGTAATGAGTCGTACATGTATGTAAAGGCTAGCACTCAGCTCTGCTCTGAAAGGGGAGAGGAACCATTTTAAACATGCCTATATGTGCAATCCCACCACTAGCCAAGCCCAGCATGCAAGTCCTTTATGAACGAGTTCTAAGAAGACCTTTCCCCCGAGGCCAAAGGCACGTCTACATAGGTACGTCCCTCCAAAGCCGACCCTCACCCTCAACATTGCTTCTTACCTTTCATTTTTGAGTTCTTTCTTTTTTTCTTTTTCCATCCCCTTTATCCTCCTCCTGTCTGGACTGTTGTCTATGGTGAGCACCCCCCCTCAACAGGGGGGCTCGGTTCTTCGGTCTGTCTTCCAATAAGCTCTGATTCAGAACCACGACTGACCACAGACCAGTCATCCTTCTGCAGCGTTGCTGCTCTTCTGTATCCTCTCTGATCCTGTACTAGTTCTCTCTTGTAGCCGTCAGGCTCTTCAGACAGACTAATCTCTCTGATGTTCCTCAGAATGTTTGTGTTGAAGCTGCTTCAGTTTTGAAGTGTTCTTCTTCTTCTTTTAACCTCCATTTCAGAAAAACTGGATGTGGAAGCCCGCCTTCAAGAGCTTTGCGAACAAGTCAAGGTATGCACAAACATCCTGAAGTTACTGATATTTTTGAATGCTTTTGTTTAAATGGAGCGGTCTACTGAATTAGCTCTGAGGTCCCACAGTAAACAAAAAAAAAAACAAGAAAATATTCAGCTCTTAGGCATTTACAGTGTTTGTGTTCTGATCTGTTTAAACCCAAGACATTAATAGAGACAGTATCAATCTAAATATATGCACCATCATCATTTATAGGGTTCTTTCTATTGGGAGGTGTCTGTCCCAAATTTTAATACCTAAATTTAAGCAATTTTTTTTGCGTTTTTAACATTGTTTTATGAAAATATTTGTTTTAAAGTGAAGTTAAAAAAATTAAATCTATTGTGAATTTAAATTTTAATACAAAAGAACTGCATCCCTGTCCCTCATGGCCACATGGTGAGCCATTAGATCATATTGTTTTAAAGTAAATGTGTCGCAAAGTCTGGCATTTTCAGTGCCTTCATACTGTTCACCCCCCACACGTTTATATTACACGAGTATAAAAAACATTAAAAAAACAGGTGAAACAGGTGATTTCATTACGTGATGTATTGTTTTTGTCTCTCACTGCATGACATCTGTAGATTTATGAATTCATACTCTAACTATAAGACATATTTATGGCCTCAGTCATAAACTACAGTATAGGCACTTATGAGAACAGTGAATTTTGCTGGCAGAGACATGTTAAACCTTGCTGGGTGTTGCTGCTGTAGGTTGGAAGTTGGGTGTTTGTGTTTAATTCTTTAACAAGAGAGATCTAAACAGGAGACTGCAGTTCTTTACTTAACCTTAGCAGACATTTGCATTTCCAGGTAGTTGTTAGGCTGTTACTAAGTGCACTTTATAGTTCTACAATTACAGACTGTAGTCCATCTGTTTCTCTGCAGCCCCCTTTTCAGCCCCCTTTTACCCTGTTCTTCCGTGGTCAGGACCCCCGTGGACCCTCACAGAGCAGGTACCATTTGGGTGGTGGATCATTCTCAGCACTGCAGTAACACTGACGTGGTGGTGGTGTGTTAGTGTGTGTTGTGCTGGTACGAGTGGATCAGACACAGCAGTGCTGCTGGAGTTTTTAAACACCTCAGTGTCACTGCTGGACTGTGGGCAGAGTCCTGTGGGCAGCGTCCTGTGGGCAGCGTCCTGTGGGCAGTGTCCTGTGACCACTGATGAAGGACTAGAGGATGACCAACACAAACTGTGCAGCAGCAGATGAGCTATCGTCTCTGACTTTACATCTACAAGGTGGACCGACAAGGTAGGAGTGTCTAATAGAGTGGACAGAGAGTGGACACAGTGTTTAAAACTCCAGCAGCACTGCTGTGTCTGATCCACTTGTACCAGCACAACTCACACTAACACACCACCACCACGTCAGTGTTACTGCAGTGCTGAGAATGATCCACCACCCAAATAGTACCTGCTCTGTGAGGGTCCGTGGGGGTCCTGACCACTGAAGAACAGGGTAAAAGGGGGCTAACAAAGTATGCAGAGAAACAGATGGACTACAGTCTGTAACTGTAGAACTACAAAGTGCACCTATATAGTAAGTGGAGCTGATAAAATGGACAATGAGTGTAGAAACAAGGAGGTGGTCATAACGTTATGCCTGATTGGTGTATTTATGGCCTCAGTTATAAATTACAGTATAGCTGAAGTGTATTGTAGCTCATCTGTAAAAGCATTAGCTGTGAAGCTGAGTTTTGCCCCAGGGTTTAGATGGAATCCAAACAGTGTCCTGAGCAATCTGTGAACACAGCTGGCTGCATAGCTGTCAAGGGAGGCGTTCGCTGATTGTGTTTATTATGTTGTAATCCAGATGTTGTACACCTCCGAGATTTAATGAAACTTAACGTGAATAATAAGGCATCTCTCAGCGATCAGTGGTGTCTAACTTCTTTCTGCATGTGTGTCGTCTTGCAGCAGAGAGCGGAGAGCCCGGACGAGCTGGCTGAACTAGTGAACATGAACCTTGCACAGCTGTGCTCTCTGCTCATGGCGCTGTGGGGTCAGTTCCTGGAAGCGGTCGCTCTGCACGAGAGTATCTCGACGCTGCTGGCTCAGGAGCACCACACCTTGAGGGTACGTTCACATGCTTCACATTCCAGAGACTAGACGTGACATGAAGTATAAATAACATCTTATTTATACAACTGCGCTCCACTGTCTGTCGAACTTGTACAGGTCCTCTTCTCAGTTCCACTTTTCTCTTCCTACTTCTGTTACTGTTGTTACTGATGTTTTTTCCCCTCAAGTCCAGTTATGAAGTTTGTGAAGTTTGCATACCAAAAGCAGTCATAACTAAAAAGGGAAAGTTTGTGAACAAGCTCTAAGTCGGCTTGACAAAAGCAGCAGAAAACGCTGTTGTAGACTGTTCTTAACTTAATTGTGTTTATATACTGCTAAATAGATGAAAGTAGTATGTTGATTTTGGGTTATTTTAAGTTAAAACGTTTATTCCTGTTGTTATTCCTGTTGTTATTCCTGTTGCTGTGGTGTTCCAGGTGGTTGCGAGGAGGTTGCTGCTTAATTTCTGTGGTTTTCTGGGTTTGCTGTGTTGTTTTTAAGTAGTTATGGTGATGCAGGTGGTTGCTACACTGTTGGTAGGTGGTTGCTAAGGCATCTCTGCCAGTTGCTAGGCAATTGGCATGATGTTTTAGGTGGTTGCTAGGGTTGCTATGGTATTCCAGTACGATGCTAGGGTGTTGCCAGGTGGTTGTTTGTGGTTGCTAGGTTGTTATTATGGCATTGGTGTGGTTGCTGTGGTACTTAAGGTGGTTGCTAGGGTGTTGCTAAGCAGTTGCTAAAGCATTCAGTGTAGTTACTAGGGTAGCAACTACAGGTGATTGGTATAGTATTCCGAGTAGTTGCTAGGGTGTTACTAGGTGTTTCTGTTGGGTTGCACTGAAATTGGAGTTTATTGATAGGGACTTGGCAGGTGGTTACTTATTTTTCATGGTTGCTTGGGGGTTGATAGGTGGGTGCAGGGGTGTTCCAGGTGTTTGCTAATTCATTGCTAGCTGGTTGCTGTGGTATCTCTGGTTGTTCCTAGGTGGCTTCTATGGTATTTAAGGGGGTTGCTAGGGTATTGGAAGTGGTTGTCTTAGGATCAAACAGACTGTTTTTGGTGCTGTGCCTTCAAGATGTATATATCATCACTGTTGACACAAAACCTCGTACTTCCAAAATAGTAACATTACATGAAAAGGAAAAAATGTGGTTAAATTGTAATGGAGGTTGGTGGAACAAGATATTTTTGCAAGTCATTTTGGATCATTTCTGCTGCATGAAATTTTGACACAATGCAAAGTGTAACTGTAGTGTTCTTATCATGTAACAGCAAAAATGGAGATGCAAGGTTTTTGCAGAACAGTGACCTCAGGCTGCAATGTAAATGAACTCTGTCCTGATTGGCTGCCCTGTATTTTGCCTCATTCAGAAGCAGTTCAGCATTATTGGGCGGAGCTAAACTATTGTGGCCTGAATAGGCGGATCTACGTGAAAGTTTTTACAACGTTACAGAAACGATGAATTTAAAATTGTTCGTCTGGCTTAGTTTCCGAATATGGATTATATGAACTGAGGAATAAATAATATATGAAATTTATCTAGTACTTACATACTACATGAAGTTTTCCGTGATATGGACCACTTAAAGAAGCAGCTGTTCCAGTCGTTATTTCTGTGTCTGTCTGTCCATTTGCTGTAGGTACGGAGATTTGCTGAGGCTTTCTTTTGCCTTGAACACCCAAGACAGGCAGCACTGGCTTTCCAGGAATTGCAGTGAGTATCAGCATGGTCGTGTTGGCGTTTGGTGCACATACGAAATCTGTCATTTATACTGATTCAGTGACTATTTTTGTGTATGAACAGCGCGCATAGCCACCAACAGATGACTGCAGCTATTAAGAACTCCTCGTACTTCCTTTCCCTCCCGCCGCTTCCAGTGGAATGTGCTGACCTGGACGGAGATGTGAACTCCCTGCCAGTCATCTTTGAGGATCGATATCTGGAGTCTATTACAGAGGGTTTGTATATTTTTAGAGGTAGTAAGTGGGCTTACCTCCTTACTGTGGGCTTTAGAAAGGAGAAACTATTGATTTGACTTGATTTGACTGCAGTGTGTTTAGTTTTAGATTCTGCTGAGAAGAACATGAAATGAAGTAGCTATGTTTTTTTTTTTTGTTAGTCATATGTTAGTCATATACAAAAATTTGGGCACCGTTGGTCAAAATATGTGTCAGGAAAAAACCTTGTGTCTCCATTTTTGTTATTTTTAATTTTTTGCATAATTTGAAAAGTTCAGTTACCCTTTGCTTCATGATGGAACGACCAATAAAAATGGTCCAAAATTACTTATAAAAAATCTTTTTAACTTCAGTTACAAGTTAAGAATATTTTTTCCCTTTCTTCACCCTTTGGATATACAGGATATATATTTGGACATGCGTTTTGTGCCGACAGCGATAATGTTTATTGATTTTCTAAATAAAAAAAAATAGGTGCACATCCTCTACAGAAAACATATATTTTAATATACAGTTGCAAGTCATAAGATGTGACCTGTGCAAATGTCACGACACATTTTATGTTTTGTTATTTTTACGTTTTTATGTTCGGTTATTTAACTCTACAAATAAATACGTTATTTATTTATAAATACGTTATTTATTTGTAGCATTAAAATTTGCAGTGAAAATTCTATGCCATCTGTTACTCATAGAGGAAGTGTTAACTTACTTTCACTTGGAAACTTGGGGGTTTTCAAACATCTGCATGTGACAATTTATTTTCATCTGTGCATCTGTTAATTTAATATTGACCGATTGCCTCTTCCCAAAGATCGTGATGGTCCATGGCTTGGCCTGCACAACTCCAGGAGTGGTTCTGTGTCTAGTAAAGCAGATAAGCCCAATTCTAAAGATTTGGGTGCTGGAATAGGTGCTCTCAGCCCAGAACTCCCACAAGCTGCCCTGGCCACCAACTGGCCTGAACAGAATGAGCCTCCTATCAAATCCAAGGCCAAGTCCATCAAGCTGAAGAAGAACGCCAAGACGGAAAACGCAAAGAAGCTGATCAGGCAGAGCTCAAAAGACTCAGTGGTTCTGACAGGCTACAAGAACCTGAAGGTTCCTCCTAGTGAACCAGCAGGCAGGCCCAAAGAGCAAGCTGGCGAACCTAAGTGCAATCAGAAAGAGGAGCGGGACGACATGCCTGGAGATCCCAGCAGCCGGTTTAAAAACATTCATCAAAATGACACTACAACCACTCTCACTATAGACTGTCTTATGAACGACAGCCAAGCTGACACTGGTATCCAGAGGGACAATTTCACAAATCTTTTAAGCTTGCAAGCACAGGCCAGGCCCCAGGCAGGTCCTGGAGCAGGACACACAGAGAGCAAAGCAGCACATGGAGTCGACCTGACTGTGCCACCCGCTGGGCTTCGACATATTGAGGTCAAACCTAGCGACAAGAACCCCTACCAGGGCGATAAGGTCACCATCCTGTTACCGTGCTCCTATGATCCTGCCCCCAAGAGGGGTGTTCCTGAGATCACACAGACAGACTGCTGTGAGTCCAAGCCTCAAAGCAGGGAGAATCAGAGTGGGGCAGGGACCACAGATGTGGGTCTGCTGGGTGGTTGTGCCATGGCATTGAGGAGCGACAATGTGCCAAGCGCCTCTTCGCGCCTCTCTGATTCAGGCATCGAGAGCGAACCTAGTTCTGCCACCCAGCTGGCACCGGGGCCACAGACTTCCTCCACTCTGACTGGGGTGGATCTAGACTGGGTTCCATTACAGGGCGAACCGACCCCTCCGAGTGTTGCCCCCAAGTTGCCTCAGCTCAGTCCTGCATCAAAAGCTTCTACGGTGCCTGAGGTGCCGAACCCCGAGAGTACCAGTGGCATAAGTGGCGTCCAGTCTTCCCTGACCTCCATAAACTCGCTCCCCTCAGACGACGAGGTGGAGGGCGAGGCTGTGGGGAGGAAATCCAGTGTCATCGTGCAGGAGCAGGCACTGGTTTTCTCTGGAGGAGCTGATATCCGCCTTCCGTTCTGTGCCACCATCCCCACCAGGCCTTCACCTCTCAGAGGAGCCTCCAGCCATGGAGATGATTCGGTGTTCCTTAAGGAGGAGGCTTCGGTTCCTCTGTCCCTCTGCGAAGCTGTTGCTACCGACAAAACGGAGTCTGCTGACCTTGGGCCACCTGCTGGTGGAGGTGCTGGGCCGGAGGTCTCCGGCGATCTGCAGACCGCGGCACAGTCTAGCACCTCAGCCACCAGCAGCACGGACCTGGTGAAGAAGGGTTTGGTTGAGAATTACTTCGGCTCGCGCTCTAGCACCGACGTTTCCGAGATCAGCCCTGTGGAGACAGCTGCCATTACGCTGGGCATCCAGACTGGCCCCCACACCGCTGAGGAAGAGGAGGACGAGGAAGAGCAGGAGCATGAGATGATCGAGAACGGCTACTATGAGGAGACAGATGGGCCGGTCTCTGTCAACGGTCTGCCAGAGGAGGATGGAAGAAGCGGAGAGGGGGAAGGTGGCCAGGGAGCAGAGGCACGCCTCTACGAGCATCTGGGTTTGGAGCATCTTAGGGAAGCGTACTCCCCACGGACCTGCCAGCAGAGCCGGCCCTCCAAAACGGCGCTGACCAGCAGCAACCTTCGCTGGTACGAGAGCGCCCCCCCTGCCCAAATGAAAATGTGAGTTTTCTTGCTTGGGGTCTGTTCACTGTGTCAGTGCATCAACCTCCAATGCATGGCAGAGTTATTTTTTTCAGAAATGCATCACTAGCTGGGTTTTCACCAACTCCATGCATGAAAATGATTCAAAACATTGAATTTTATTGCAAGAAAATAAATGCACTATATTTAATACCATTTTTGGCAAACAATTGCTGCCACATAGGTTTTGCTTAATCAAATAAAAATGATGCTTCTGTCTAGTATTTTATAAATGTTTTAAATTGTGTCCACAATTGTGACGTCACCATATGACCACGCCGACAATATAATGACCAGTAGAATCCAAATAAGATCTGTGTGCTTTACATATTATTGCAAGGACAGCCATTATGAAACAGATGCAAGTTCACTGACATGACGATGTTTAGTTACTTCAGTGTTTGAGCAGCAGTTTCACTAACGTTAGCTTTTATGGTACAAAAGCCCTCAAAACTTATCAACCGGATCAACACTCACTTTGCGTAGCCCTGTGTCCGGTCCTCAGTTTAATGGCTCACCTGCCAACCTTAGATAAGTTGACCACACAAGTGTGGACTGTGCACTGAATACAGCTACATATGAGTCTGTAAAATTACATTTAGATTTTTAAGATCCTTTTAAACATATTTTTATTTATATAACAGTAATGTTTGTGTCTGTACAGTGAACAACTTCCACGTGTTGGTTGGCATATCCACGACTGTTGAAGACTCTTAAATCAGTAACTAATGGAAACTATTACAGCTGAAGTATTGATAATCAGTTTTAGATGGAAATCTAATATTTGAAATTAATTTGAATGAATGAATTTTTTATTTTTATAGATCAGTAGTATTATAAGTATTCTTATTACAGTCTATTATCAGCTACGTTGATACGCTGTACGTTTTAAGGTGGGAAATTTAACCTAATAACATGGAGCTTGTGAACTGCTTTTAGATGAATTCGACTGATCAGAAGCAGCCAAACATCCGTGTGCTGTGACATCACAAACACAATTAACTGGCAGACTGGTGCACTGCATTAAGTCTCAAGCCAGAAAAGTATACTCTGGTCTTCTTAGCCAAAAAAAAGGCCCAAACCTCAGTTTATAGGAAACAATCGCAATTTAAACCGTAATCACAATATTGGTCAGAAAAATTGCAGTTAGATATTTTGCCAAAAGCGTTACGCCCTAGAAGCTATCTATAAACAAGACCAGTTATTTTTGTTTTCTGAACATATGACTGTTTTCTCTCTGAATATATTTACATTTTTTTTTTTTTACTCTCCACCACTGAGGGTCATTAATGTGACCAGTGTGTAAATAAGTCACATGCCTTAAACAAAAGAGTTGAACACAAAGAACATTCATTAATGTTGAGCAGTTGATTATAATTATGATGTTTCAGAAATGTGTAGCCAAATTTAGCAACATTCTCCGAAGATGACGGTGCATAAATGAAGCCCTCGCACATGATGCAAGAAGCTGCCCTTTTAATGCTCCATATGTTTATGTATTAACAGAGAAGGCTTGTGAGACAGAGCTCAGTCTGCCAGTCTGCTGTAGTTTTTGTTGGTTTGCTGTAGGCGAAGCACACAATGACAATCCTGCTAAAATAATGCATAATTGTAATTTTTTTTTCGTCAAAAAACTTCAACAATTGTAGGTTTTCAGGTGCTGGTTTATAGTTTATCAGGAAAAAAATTTCTGACAGTAAAATGTTACCTTTTATTGTCAGAAATTTCAGAGCATTAAAACTCTCTCGAGTGAAGTCCTGCCTGCTGTTAGATTAAATCAGTCAAGCTCAAACATGCATAAAGCACTCGGTGATTTTCATAATGTACTGCTGTTGAAATAATTTCAGGTAATGCATTTCAAAACAGCGTTTTTTATCACATCTTCTTCATTGTTGCTCTCTAACCATTTGTTCTATAGGTTTGTTCAGGCGAAAGAGGAGCTGAAGCAGCTGAAACTGCCAGGTTTCCTGTACAGTGAAGTGGCAGATCTGGCTTCCACTGTGCCGTATTTCAGCCTGGATGAGGACGAGAGTTGTGACGAGGGTGTTCACCTCATCGTGTGTGTGCATGGGCTGGACGGTGAGGCCGCACAAACACACCCTCAGCAAATATTGACAGATGTTTGTTTAATAATATAGTGTATTGTTATGCTTGACTGTTTATTTTATTTATTTATCCAATGTGCAAGTGGAGCCGTGCTGCTGGACAAAATGGTATATTACAAGTGTGCTATGATAAAATATCATTCATACATCCACATACACCGGCAATGTGATGTAAACATGTTTTAAATGAACACACTACTATTGCAGGGCCCAGTGTTGAAATCAATCAGTAAACCTTTACTTAAACTTGGAATACATTCAGGGTGTAGCTAAGCATTATACAGAAAAGATGGGGTTGAAAAGAGTAAATATACATATGTATTTGTGATAGTAAAAGTACAGCAAAGAAAACAAAATACTGGGTGATTCAAGAAGATTCGTCTGATTTCAAAACGATTTATTTCCCTTGTAAATCATTACAGAATAATGCAGTAGAGTGTAAATTGTTTAAGTGAGCATAAAGTTTATTATGTAATTGTATATGTGCTCAGTATGAACCTCTTCCAGCTGTACGGACAACATCAACGCCATAGTCAGATTCATCCCATACTGGATTGAGCATGTTGGGTGTCGCTGCACTCATGGCTCTTTCAGTGCGATTTCGGAGATCATCCAGTGTTGTGGAACCAACGACAAACACTCCGAGCTGTTGGAGCTTCACTGCCCACGAAAATCGCGCTGCACAGTTATGACTGATTCACTCTTATTGAAGTGGAGAACGCAGAACGCTTTCTGCTCAGGGGTCTCATCTCCTCTCAGACTGAGGGGAGCCATCTTCCACTGACAGTCAGAAACTCTATGACCCCCTCTTTCAATTGGATTGTGATTGGTTCCTAGGAGCCTCACGGTTGTAGAAATATGGCGCTTTGAAATCGGATTAATCTTTTTTAATCATGCTGTGTTATTAAAACAGCACATAAAAATTGAAAATAGACTAATCAAAAGTCAAGCCTGCGTTCACACCAGCAGTGGCACTGCAAATTGACAGTAATCACAAAGACCAAATACAGTTTTCCTCATAAACCAACTGCACAGATGCGAGGATTAAATAAAAATAAGCACACAAATGATTTCTCACCAGGATTTTTAATTTTAGCAGGAATGCATCTTATTTGTGTATCAGTGAAACCATGGGAAACAACGGTCCGCTCAAGTTCAGGAACACCCACAGGGATTGAGTGATCAGTGATGTGGGCGACAAGAGGTGTTAAGTCGCTGCTGGTGTGACCGCAGGGTTAAACAGATCAGTATAAAAAATAAATAAAATTAGTAGTAAAAAATATATAAATCATCTAGATGTATCGATATTCCATGGTGTTGTTGTTAACGTCACTCTTGATGCTTTAGTGATGATAGTGCTGTAAATAGTACAGAAACCAACCTTCATTTATTTAATTTTCAGTCATAACAGCCATTAAAATAAAAGTTCTTTATTTTTCAGTGTCAGGAAAAGAGCAGAAAACATACGTTTAGCAGACAATCCCACAGAAACCTCTAGCTCCATCAAAAAAGCAGTAGTTATCTGAGATCACTGTGTTGATAATCTCATGCACATTAACGCTAAGACCTCACAGGATTATTATGTTTAAAATGTTCCTCAGTAAAATGTCGGGAAACATCTAAGGAATGCAAGACTCACACAAAAATCCATTGCCTTACATTTAGTTCGGCTGTGGACATGAAGGTTAAAATTTCAAGTAAAAAAAAATTAAAAATCACAAACTGTTTGAGAGTTCGAGAGATTGAGTAGAAAGGATTGTGTGTGTTTAGGTGGACAATAAACTGGTTCTTCTTCAGAATTTCTGACAGTTTCTTTTTAATGTGCTTACTACCTGCATGGATGACAGCAGTTTTAAACCAGCTTTTTGTAAGAATTCTGTCAGCTTGTTTGGAGGTCTGAGGAAACAGTGGACAGTAACACTGGGATTCAGTGCTGTCTGAGCCAGATTGCACACAATGGAATTTCTACTTCCAGCAGTTGAGTTTGATGGCTGTGATGAGGCTGACAAAGACACTGGAGAGCCTAAAAGCCTCAAACTTGGTTATGGTGGGTTCTGGATGTGGTGGAGGGGGGAGAGCACGGTCGCTTGTAGTACCGTGGGTGCTCTCAGACTCCCAGCCCAGAGATTCCTTCAACAGTGTTTTGGACAGAGGAGACAAACGTTGGCATGTCCCAGTTTTCTGCAATGATCCCTTTCTTGGCAGAACTTTATTTCTTGAGCCGGTTAGTTTTTTAGGGCAAGGAGATGACTAAAGGCATCCTGACAAAAACAGGAAGAAGGCTAGATATGGCAAGATTGCATTTGTTCCTAAACTTGTTGATAATGATAAAGTCTTTCTTTTAATGTCTCTAGTGCCTACAGGGACAAAAAGGGGTTTAAAACGGCAACTTTTGAGAATTCTGTCAGCTTGCTGGGCAATATCGGTTACTTGTGATGAGAGCAACAAAGATTGGAGAACTTAAAGCCTTTAACCTGTTGGTTCTGCCGAGTCTGCTGCTTCAGAGGGTCTTCAGTTCTTCTCTCCACACTCCTAAGCTCTGCTTTAACTGAGGCGAGCTGTGTATAGATGTCACCCTCACTGCTGCTGTTTATGTTGTAAAAAAACAAGATAAAAGAAAAGGAAAGAGATTAAAAATGAACTAAATATACACACATTATCTAAGCCGCTTATCCTCATGGGTCATGCTAGAGCCTATCCCAGCCTTCATTGGGCAGATGACAGGAAACACCACGGACAGGTCGCCAGTCCATCACAGGGCAGACACACAGACATATACACTTTTAGCGTGTCCAGCTGGCCTGACTGCATGTGTTTGGACTGTGTAAGGAGACCCACACAGACACAGGGAGAACAGCAAACTCCAAACAGAAAGCTGTGAGGCGACATTTGGGCATCTTTTACCTTCTGTAAAATGAGCCAAAAATAACCTCAGGTTATAGTAATCCTGTGTGAATTGGCATGCTAGTAAGATGCTATGATATACTGTGATATACTTGTGTTCTCTGAGCTCAGCTTCTTGTTCGAATTGTCCCATTCCACCTTAAATGGTGCAGCAGTTATTATTACAGTGCCGGAGGCAGCAGAATGTAACTGCTGCACCATTTAAGGTGTAACAGGAAAATTCTAGCATGACGCTGCTGAATAGAAAGCCATCTTCAGCTTTGTTGTTTTCCGTGGCTAAAATCAGGCTGATATATAGCATTATTGTCCAATCTCACATGTACAACTCAAACAAAAAGTTTGATTTTATGCGATGAAGCTGACTGTAGGCTGTGAATTCCCAGCTAATGGTGATGCTAATGACGCACTGCATTAGACAGATAGAAAGGTAAACATTTATGGTAAATGAAATAACGGCCAAATTAAATGTTTTAACGTTTTCTACTCTATTCTGGACTTGGAGCGTAAATCGAGTAGCCGTTGCATCTCTGTCATTTACACATGAGATTTCTTGCGAATCGGTCATAAACATTATAGACGTCATGTGGCAAACACGCATCACCCACCTCCTCATGGAATACTAATCCAATCCGAATGGGGCGTAAGCTCGCTTGTTTAAAAGACTCTTATTTGTATGGTTCATCCTGTGTAAACATCTCTTTAATTTAAAAAGATGTTCCGCAGTGTTGGTCGTCTTAAATCAATACAATAAAACTGTCAAATTACTCACAGGCTGTACTGTATATTGTGAAATCTTCACACTCTACAGTGTTTCACTGCAGCTGCATAAGGCTTACGTTTTTTTGTGTTCTTTCTCTTCCAACAGGTAACAGTGCGGATTTGAGGTTGGTGAAGACCTACCTAGAGCTGGGGTTGCCTGGAGCACGTATAGACTTCTTAATGTCAGAGCGCAACCAGGTAACAGGCCATACATCATTGTTTTATAGGGATGCACTGAAGTTTCAGCCACTGGATTTTTTTTTTTTAAGCCGTTTTTCTCTTTAAGCCGAAAACTGAAAGTGCTGTGAAAGAGAAAAATGAGAGAGTTTCATTAATGAGTGAGGAGAATAAAAACAGGCAAAAATATGGAGCTGCTGCAGCAAATCACCCTGTAAAACCTGAAATAATCATTTAAAAGTCAGGGAGTTTTTCACACCACGTCGTACGTCTTTACGTGTTAACGTCGCACACAGACTCTAAAAGAAGGTCTGGCTCGATGTTTCGGCCTCAAATGATCTCATAATCAGCATCATACTGATGAAGATATGATGACAACAGTAGATAATTCACTCTGAGTTCTCTCTGAATTATCTTTCAATCAGCAGATTCATTCGCTTGGTAAAGGGCCGAAGCACAACCCACACTGCAAAATGTTCTGCAATTACACAACACCAGAGAGGGCTCCAAATCTCCAAATATTACATAGTATTGCTGTAAATAAGCCTGCAATAAAGTGTTCAAACCATAAAACATAACTGAAAAGAGAATTTATTGCTTTGGATGACCAACAGCACTCTCTTATCCAAAACGTTGACTGTAGTCTACATATTGCAATCAACTTAGTTTATTTATTTCATCTTTTTTCATTTTTCGGTTTTAGCCAAGAATATTCATTTTGGTGCGTCTCTGTTTTATTCTGCACTGTTTTTTTAACTGTGTTTTTGGGCATAATGTGCATCGTCTGCTATTATTTACTTTGTTTTGGTTTCTCCTTTCGCAGAATGATACCTTTGCTGATTTTGAGTCTATGACCGACCGACTTCTGGATGAAATTGTGCAATACATACAAATCTACAATCTAACTGTTTCCAAGATAAGGTAATGTTCTTACACACACACACACACACATATACACACACACACACACACACACAAACATACTCACTTCTTTCATGGACAGTCAGTTCAGCCAAGCCTCGAAACTGACAACAGAGGCCTAAAGCCTTGGGAAGCTGCAAGGAGTTGACTCCCTATCTAGCTGGCACACAGTGAGAGACCACCCAAAGTGTAGAGTACCCTAGGCTACCTCTACAGCTAAAAGCACTGTAAACTACATTCCTGTGTACCTCTTGTAAGCATTCATAATTTATGGTTGCATAAGTAAGACAACACACTACACTAGAATCCGTTTAAATGGGTTACATGCACACCCAGCTCACCGAAGTGAAGCGAAGTGAAGTCTTGATTACTAAAATAAAATCCACAATAGTTTCGCACAAGTTTGAGTTCAGTTCAGTTCTGCAACAACTAAAGCTGTGAAGTGTGTGATTCCCAATATTACAGTTGCCCAACAAATACCCAGAAACCAGTCAGATAGTGTGAGATAGACAGTCTTCTAGAGTGTATTAGGGGTTGTGTAGTGTATCCAAGGCCTTAATAACATTCAAAACCAGTCTGACCAGTCTTATCTGATGTCCGCAGCTTTGTTGGTCACTCTCTGGGGAACCTGATAGTGCGCTCGGTGCTGACGAGGCCCAGGTTTAAGTGCTATCTCAGCAGACTGCATACCTTCCTGTCGCTGTCCGGGCCTCACCTCGGCACCCTCTACAACACCTCAGCCCTTGTGAATACCGGTATGACGAAACCTGATCGCCCACACATCAGTACACTCAACACCACAAACACAGAATACAGCAATAAACCTAAAACCTGCGTAACCATGACAGATCACTGTAATGTACATGGCCTTGGTAAACACAGTGAAATACACCAATGACAGTAAACACAATGAACAGTCTGTCTACCAGTAGGCTGTGATTGTCAGGAAAGTAAAAGTCAAAGATTGTTCCACAATGTCTTAAAAGGGAATTCCCCACTGATTATTAAAGATTTCCATGTAGTTCAGTCATTGACATGTGAACAAAATTGATGTGTAATGTGGTGAGAAATGGTGAATTGTAAAGAAAACAGATCTCTTTACAGAGGGAACCAGGTATTGTGATACCTAATAAAGCCATAACACAAATATAGACATTTTATGTACTATCCAACACCACCAGTGAACCTACACGAGTCTTCGGAGGTTTATGTGGAATGTTGATGATGGAAAATAGTGATTTGAAAAAAAATGCAGTTGCCTTAGAACACCCTGCCTTACGATTAACATATCATATAAATTACACCATGCATGGATTTTAAGGCCAGAATAGTCTTAAAACTATAATAAAACAGTGTCTCAGTCATCAGGCAGTGAATTCATAACCATTTCATGTAGTAACTTTCTGTGAGGGAGCTTTTAGAGGTGGACGTCTGGTTCCTATCACCACCACTGTGAGCAGTTCCAACTCGGTAAGTTTATCTAGAACGGAGCATTTCACACCAAAGCACTCTGAATGACTCCGTTTACATCGCAATGATTTCATTATTCAGCAGTTTTTAAAAATTGCAGCAGTTCCCCTTTAAATGTTGGTCTTTTCATTGGGAAATTGCAAGTTCCCAGTGAGGACGGGGACTCCAGCAGAGAGTAACTGGCCCTTCCACTCCCCCATAATTCGGGATGGTATTAGGCTCTTTGATTGCTGACTAATGTACCTGAATTGGTACATTAACATACAAAGTTAGCAGTCTCCTGCAAGCATGTTGAACCATCCAATGATGATGTATTGTGGTGGCTAAGCACATGCTTTCCCTCCCTCTTACCGTCATGCGACTGTGAGACCTAACTAGCAGGAGGAATTGGCAGTGACTAAATTTGGGAGAAACAGAGAATTCTTTTGAGATCTGGGCTCAAATGTGTATGTTAAGTGATTTACAACGGCTTTGGCTCAGCCATTCAGATTTTAGAATCTGTTTCGAGTTATTTTATCAGTACGGGTATATAGTAATAACTGGCCCAGGCTTTGAGCACCGAGCAGATTTTGGATGATCAGTTATAGTTGTTTGCTGAATAGTTTTGTTTCCACGTCTTCTCTTCTCTCGACCTCAGGGCTGTGGTTCATGCAGAAGTGGAAAAAGTCCGGCTCGCTGCTTCAGCTGACCTGCCGTGATCATTCAGACCCTCGGCAAACGTTCCTCTACAAGCTGAGCAAGAAAGCAGGTTAATGTCAGGCATTTTCTGGAGCATGCACATTTCTTTTGGACTCACTGAACTCATTTTTCTCTCTGTGGTGCAGGTCTTCAGTTCTTTAAGAACGTGGTGCTGGTAGGCTCTCTGCAGGACCGCTATGTGCCGTATCACTCGGCTCGCATTGAGATGTGCAAGACAGCCTTAAAAGACAAGCAGACAGGTGAGGCTAATGCTGCTGTGGTTGTTTCTTAAACCGTGAGTGTACTGTAACACTGTCATGATCATAAAAGGTTTACCTTACGATTAACTGTTGTATAAATTACAATGCAATTGCAATTAACGATATAGTTGTCTATTTTTCTTTATTCACTGCAACTTAAGCAGGCTGATTAGTTTCCTAGCTACCTTTAATCTGTAGCTAACACCAGGTCCTACTGACAGGAAATGATCTACTGCACTCTAGTGTTTAACTAACAGTTAGACAGAACCATGTGTGAGTCCACCAAAGCTTACATTTTTTCTTAAAACTGTATAAATGTGACCAAAAAACATCGTTCTGTAAGCACACAGTCATGAAAAGAAGTACATCCCAGGAAAACTTTACGTTTGCAACATATTTGGAGATACAGATATTAAGTCTTCATTTAAACAGTGCTGATAGATCAGGGTGATATACTTTAACATGTGACACATAGAATTAACATTTTTGCAATCAATTATGTAACTGAAACAAAAAGACGTGCAGTTGTCTTATGTTTAAAAAGTAAGTACACCCCTATTTATATCACTAAACATCAGTGTAAATTGGTTGCACCTCATTGGGTGCTAATGATTAGAGCACCGCTAGAGAACGTCTTGGAGGAACGTGTCTTATTTAAACCTCAGATATCTGGTCTGGTTTGCTCTTTGTTATTGGAGTGTGTGGTTTCATCATAGCAAGATCAGAAGAGCTCGCTGAGGCCTTCAGAAAGAAGGTTGTAGGTGCCTCTGCGTCTGGGAGGGGGTTTAAGAAGATATCCAAAATGTTAGAAATGAGTTATTCCACTGTCTGGAAGATCATCAGGTAGTAAGTTAGTAGAGAAGATTAAAAACCACTGCCAGCAAAGACAAGGACTTCTGGAACAGTGTGCTCTGGACCGACAAAGAGTCAAAGAGAATTGTTTGGCCACAGTAAAAGAAGCCATGTTTGGCAAAAACCAAAGACTGCATTTGATCAGAAGAACCTCATGCCAGCTGTAAAGCATGGCGGTGGAAGTGTTATGGTTTTGCGCTGCTCCATGAAGTTGTTTCTGTCAAAAGGGGTGGTACCAGTTACTGAAGCCAGGGCTATACTTAATTTTTCAGCAGACAGTTATTGTATTTTTAGTAAATTATTGCAGAATAATTGTGGAATTTCCATAATTTTTTGTTCTGTTCCATAACGTTTATCCGTCTGACTAGGGGTGGGCAATGTGGCAAAAATATATTGTGATACCTGATACTACAAGACATCTTCACGATATATGATATGCATCATGATATTTGGTATTTCTGAGTTTGTTATTTGTTACAGACAAAATAGAACCTGTATTGCCACATATTAAAAAAACTAGTCATGATAAAACTACTACTAACTGACTTTTATTCACTCTTTTACAAACTGCGCTTTACTAAATCCAGTTAACCGGGCCTAATTATGCTTATGTTGTAATGAAGCATGTAGTCAGTGTTTTTAAGCACTGCTGATCTTCATGATAAGCTCAGAAAAGCATATTGTGACATAATGTATCACAGTAACACTAAAATATCATCATATTGCCCACCCCTAGTACTGATATTTCCACATATGGAAAAAAAAAAGAGAAACATTTCATGGGGTGTATTTACTTCTTCACATGTAAAACTGTCTCTTTACCTATGTACCCGTCTGGGTCTCAGGTCCAGTGTACGCTGAGATGATCGAGAACTTGCTGGTACCAGTGCTTCAGAACAAAGACTGTAATCTGGTGCGCTACGATGTGATTCATGCACTGCCCAACACCGCCAACTCTTTGATCGGCCGGGCGGCCCACATCGCTGTTCTGGACTCTGAGATTTTCCTGGAGAAATTCTTCCTGGTGGCAGGACTAAAGTTCTTTCAATAGCCCGTTAGAACAGAAGAACAAGGCGCGAATACCTCAACACCCTGACAGACATTCAACAGCGTATCACTATTTTTTTATGATTTTAAATATGCCTTTGCCTTCGTGTCTGGGGTAAAGAAAACTATATATCAGTGTTTTTACGTTTTGTTCTTTATTTGGTTTTTATTTTAGTCTGTTGTGAATGTGAAATTCATCACTTTTATTTTTGTACTGCCATTTTCCAAAAATGATTTTGATCGATTTTTAGTGTTCTGTTCATCGGCAATGAAATCAAGTCTCCTTCTTTGTGGTATATTTTCAGTATTATTTATCTATAAATTTATATTTTACCAGTTTCCTTCTGCAGTACAATTCATTTGATTTTAACTTTGTTAATGCTGAACTGGAAATGTAGCTGCTAAAAAATAAAAACAGAAAAGAATGAAATATTTATTTGGAGAAACCGACTGAAGTCCTAAGTCCACTCGTTTTCTTCATTGTTGCAAAAACTTGCGCTGTTCACCAGAATTTAAACGTATCGGTGGGTGACTGACGTCCGAACTGCATTAGAGTCCTTGATTTCTATTGGTCAGTTGCCATTTGAGTACATGCATTTTGTACAATGGTTCTTTTTTTATTACAATGATCTTGACTTCCAGATGAACTCCAGATGTGATATGATTGTAGCTGAGACAAAACAGCCTTGGACTTTTCTTTGGTTTTATACGCTGTCTTGTTCAGCCATCGCAGCGTCATGCACAACACTAACCCAACCTGGCGTTGGGTACGAGAACTTAGCATGTTAGCATTTTACTACAGGGGTTTTTCCACATTTTAAACAATCTTAATTTGGTCGGGTCGAGTTACGAGAGTCCTGTCAGATCAGATAGCACAGTCAACGATGAGTAGGCGGCCGAGGAAAGTTCGGTTTCTTATGGGGAGTTAATTTATGCTTGTGAGCAAGAAATTGTATTTAAATAAAACATTATCATTTGTTAAGATGGTTTTGTATCATGGACTTCAATTCATTAAATGTATTCAAATTGAATTTTTTGCGTCCTCTGCTTATTTTTCCCTCTTTTGTTCGATAGTAGGTTTGCTGTATTGCTAATAGGACTGGGCGATGTGGCAAAAATATTATATCGTGATGCTTCAGTGTATTTTCACGGTACACTACGTGCATTACTGTACTTTGCTTTTCCAAAATTTAATAAGTTTAAATTGACAGAATAGTGCTGTATATGACATGCTGTAATAATAATAATAGTATGTAGTATAATAATAGTATTTAGATTCTTATTCACTGTGTTTAGATTCACATTCACTGTATTTAGTTTTATGCACTGTTTAGATTCACATTCACTGTATTTTGATTGTTATTCACTGTATTTAGTCCTATTCCGTTTGTTTAGATTCACATTCACTGTATTTAGTCCTATTCAGTTTGTTTAGATTCACATTCACTGTATTTAGTCCTATTCAGTTTGTTTAGATTCTTATTCAGTGTTTAGATTCACATTCACTCTAGTCTTGTTTACTGTGTATAGATTCACATTCACTGTATTTAGTCTTATTCACTGTGTATAGATTCACATTCAGTGTGTTTATATTCACACTCAGTGTTTATATTCACATTCACTGTATTTAGATTCTTATTCAGTGTTTAGATTCACATTCACTCTAGTCTTGTTTACTGTCTATAGATTCACACTCACTGTGTTTATATTCACATTCGCTGTATTTAGTCTTATTTACTGTATTTAGATTCTTATTTACTGTATATAGATTCACATTCACAGTGTTTAGATTCTTATTCACTGTGTTTAGTGTCTGAGTGATGGTGTAAGCTTTAGGGGTTCAGAGCTTCTACGGCTGGCGCTCCAAAGAGCTCAGGAGGCCCCTGCTAAGTGTGTCTCCTCTGAAAAAGGGACTTTAGGATTGTTTGTGTTGCTGTTTGTTAATGTAAAGATGTGTCGTGCATCATTTCTGTTGCGTTGTACATCGTAAGACCAAACAAAAAGAGTCAACTAAAACCATCAATCAAAATCAAAAACACCTCTTTATTCAAAGACGAGGTGAGAAATAAACACCTAACAACACAAACACTCATGGGGGAGGTCACAGCCCCCCACCCCATCCAAAACCACACCCAACACAGAACATACAATAAACACACACACACGCAACTTTAAACAACATGAACATGGAGTATCTCTTTTCACTGGGGAACGTGCCTCCTGTGAGCCTCTTCGCCACATGCCAGCTCCTGGTTGGCAGCGCCCCCTGTGGCCGTCAATGTATTATTGTATATCGTTATGTTTACTTTCTGTGAAGAACATTTTACAGATGAAGAAAAATTATTTTACACCAAACTGTACAATTTGTTTTTAGATACATGATGCAATAATTTATTTCTGACGCTGGGGGGCGATGAGGAGCACAGCTATATAATGCCCAGGTGAGCATCACACGTATCACAGTGTTTATTTCCTCACCAGCAGTTCAGGAGAAAGACAATAGAATGTATTCTTGACCAAACTGTAGAATAAAACCTGCACACGGTAAAAAAAAACAAAAAAACCTCTCGTTTAAGATCTACTGAGCTCGAAGCGTCTTTTGGAGAGACACTAAGTTTTAAACATACGTCACTATAATTTAATCAGATTACGGCTTTCTGATCACATTTATTATGAAAGCTAAACGTGTATAAGCCTAACAGTTCTATTAGGAGTGGGAATCTTCAGGCACCTCACGATTCGATTCGATTACGATTCAGAGGCTGCGATGCGATTATAAAACGATTATCGATGCATCTTTTTTTTCTATACATGATTTCTATTTTCTACTGTGTGAGGACTTGGTAGTTTTAAAGTATTTGTAATGGCCCATAATGCATTTACGTCCAATATCTTTTATTAATAAAATAAATGGAAGTGATGTGGTAAGTGATCTAGAAGGCTCTCATTCACTGCTCTTGTTTGGAGAAGCTGCTGCCACTCATCTGCAATAAAATGCGCTGTTAGGGTGAAATAAGATCCAGTGGTAATGGATGTTACAGCCGCCCTGCCCGTTTAATTCAGTGATTTTCTAACTTCGGTTTTGGTCTCGTGATAGAGGGGGGGAGCGCGAAAGCTCTGTTTCACAATGACTGAGAACTGGCGTTTTTCCCATAGCAACGAGGTTTCGCCGAGCTAGTGGCGAACGAAAAAGGAAAAGCGAAAGACAGACAAACATTTGGAGACGAATGGACTTATTCGCATTTATAAGCAGCGCAGTTGGTTTCCTGGTACGTTAAATGTGCAAATGTGTCGAACACTAACTAAAAAGGTGCGAAGATGTAGACGCTTCTCTTTCTAATTTTCCCATTCCACCTTAAATGGTGCCGCATTTACATTCGGTGCCTCAGTCAGAATTTAAGGTGGAACGGGAAAGTTCAGCAAGAAGCTGGCGAGTGAAAAGCGACTTCAGCCTCGTAAAACAGGACATTTTACAAGAAACTATTCAACTTTTGAGGAAAAGTTTTCTGGCAGAGTTAGAGGAAAAGCGGTTATAGCTAAAGCTTAAAGCAGAGCAGAGTAAGTCCGCGTTTTCGTTTATATTGTTAAGCCTAAACTAGGACATCAGCACATACTGGACATTAGATATTGTGGCTCCCAAGGTGGTCTGATTTTTCTTGAAAGGACAACATGTCTCTTCTTAACATTTGGGTTGTGACTCCTGACCTAACCTGGCTTTAATGCAGAGGGAGCCGGTCGGATTTCTCGCTCATCCAGTAGTGTTTGTTATGTGCCGCCACAGACTGTCCGGGCTCTGCACTCACCCACTTCCAAGTTCCGCCTTTTGCGTTCCGTCAACGTTACATTATAAATTAAATATTTAGAAAATCGATTTTCGACTTTTGTTAATCGATTCAGAATCGTTGACGTCCGCATCGCGATGCATCTAAGAATCGATTTTTTCCCGCACGCCTACTTTTTATTATTTTATCCATTTTACATCCCAGCGTCTTTAAAACTGACTCAGTTTCATATAAACACGGCGCTATTAGTCTACATGTGACAGTAGTAATGAGCCAATCAGCCAATGAAATGTTAACAGCTCAGCCAATGAGGTGTCATGTTAGAAGGAGAGCGACTCTAAATGAAGAAAGAAGAACGGCTCTGCAGTCAGGTCGGCTGATTATTACATTATTATGAAACTAAATGATGTTCTTTTGGTGAACAGTGAGAAAATGGACAGTAGCGATCACCGTTACGAATCTTAACACAGCTGAGCTACTTGTATCAGAAAATGGTTCATTGTTTTGAAGCAGACACTTGGCTCAGTGCTACCATCTACTGTCCGGTTCATTTTCCTACTGAGGGTCATACACTTCCATTGAAGCTCAGCCACACAAAAAGGCTCATTACAACACAAAAATGTTGATTAAATCACTCGAACCTTAAATAAACAAACCACTGACATATGACTTATTTTAAATATGGACAAAGAAAATTAAAAAAATACCTATTTTCTTAACTGTTAATGTTTTCAGCGTTCATGTGAAACACACTAACAAAAACACTAACTGCTAGCACACATGCTAATGATGTTAGCAACAGCTTCCAACAACACGTGTATGAAGTGTTTAATTGCAAAAATATCAATGGTGCTGTTCTAGTTTCCGTCCTGGTGCTCTTAGTGCTCTGTTATAGTGGTTATAGTGACTTTCTTCTCACCTGAGTGATCGTTTAAGACTGTTGGAGAGAGACTGCAAACCTAAACAAAGGCAAAGACCTAAACTCGTCCTCGTTTCGCTCTTCGGGGAGTTTAGTTAACCACAAATATCTTTTTAGTGCCGTGGTTCTCGTGTTGGTGTTCTAGATAAAGAGGAGAGGAGTTCAGTCCTCCAAACTAGAACTGATCCACAGTCAGAGCTCCACCTGAGGGCTGTGTAAGCGAAGCTGAAGGAGATCTTACGGTTTAAACTCAGCGGCGTCTCTTAAATCTAAAAGCCTTTAATTAGTAATGAACTCCACCTGTTGCTGGTGATGAGGAGGGACAGTGCAGAACTGCCAATCAGCTCTCAGTATCAGTAATGTTGGTGTCTGTTTGCTGTAGTAAAGGAAACATTCAGGTGAGTTTTCTTTGCTGTTTTAGTGAAATTCATTCTTCTACTGTCTAAATTAAAGGAAAGTTCTAAGTGATTAGAAACTATTTTAACTGTTTGTTTTTAGCCCCATTTAGCCCCATTCA